GAGAGAAGTATAAGGGAAGGTATAACTTCCCCTGTACTTTCCTCCGCATTATTGTCTGTTAGATCTCATATTATAGATACATATGCAAGAGTACATGCATTTAGGTCGCACGTCCCTGCCATTAATAATATCGGTGAACTGCCCCTTGGAACGGCCGCTATTTGTACGCGGTCATGTATGCCGCGCATGTGTCGTCTGACTTGAAATATTTTTGAGATTTCATACTGTCAAAAAAATCAAATTTACATTGCACCTTTATAAAGAGACACTCTATACTCAACTTTGCCAACAGGGTCAATGTTCCGCACAGAGGATGAGGGTTTTTTGGGGGCGCTCGAGTTACCCCAGCTGAGCGCCGGTGGATGCATGGCAATGCATGGCTTGTTGCCGGTTCGCGAAGAGTTTCATCTCGCATTGTGTTTAAATGTGGCACATATTATGAATCGTTTGATTTAATGTGACTTTGAGAATCTTCTTTTGTATTTTAGTTGACATTTCAGTGGATTATTTTTTAAACAGAATCGCAAATCGGATACAAACACATCTATCAGCGTGCAAAACTAGAAAGGACGATGACAGAGGATGGTAAAACGTGCTGATCGCCAAATGTTTATTCAACTTGCGATACCAGTATATGCGTATACAATGGTAGACTTATTGCCGTCGGCGTACACTGAGCTGGTTCCTAGTTACTATCTGGGCAAGAAAGGACAAGGACTGTGACATTTGACAGTGGCCGCGGCATCCAGCACGCATAGAAAGCGACACAATACAGATACATTATTTTGCAGACAAATACCTTCGTCCCAAATGGCAAATGTGAATCGCAGGTACATAAAAAAATCAATGAAAAACACTGTTTTGAAATGAAAGGGCACTTACAATGCACTTATTCAACACATATTGATTTATTGATATGTGGGGTTTAACGTCCTAAAACCACCATATGATTATGAGATACGCCGTATTGAAGGGCTCCGGAAAGTTTGACCACATGGGGTGCACCCAAATCTGAGCACACAAGCCTACAGCATTTTTACCTCCACCAAAAATGCAGCCTCCGCAGCCAGGATTCAATCCCGCGACCTGCAAGTCAGCAGCTGAGTTATTAAGCCACTATAGCACCGCAGCGGGGCTATTCAACACTTATTACTAGCACATCCTGTAGTGTAAACAAGTAAAAAAAAATCATCTATGTCCGATGAAAAGACCAACTCATTTGTATCTTTATGCTGTCAAGTACTCAACCTGTGCAGCATTTTTCACTAAAATTTAGGCCTTCATTCTTGAAGACAACTAAGCTTATCTTGCTGAAACATAACAGGAGATATATCGCCAGATACCTTGCTCTGGAATAATCACCAAAAGAGAGCATACAACTTTAGGGGTCTTCGCAAGCAAAAATTACATCTACTGAAATTCCTTGACAACTGATTGCATTCCTGAGCATTTAACAGTTTCGTAAGTGGTTTCTAAGAGCCTCTAAACCGTACCCAGAAATTCAGATTTACAAATTAGCTGATGGCCGTGAAAATGCTTTGAAAAGGTGACTTAATGGCGGAGTTACATGCGTTTGATGATACAAGAGAAGTTATCTCTCGTTTCGGCGTTTTATGATAGGTCATCACTCATTTAGTTCTTCAATCGGTTTGCTACGCTCCGTAAATAGGCTCGTTTCTCTTCCTGGCCGAGTGCACTTCCTCAACGTACGAGGAGCGGAGCACGTGTACCTCTCAGATTTAGGTGAACACCACATGGTGAAAATTTCCAGATCCAGAACCCTATGACGTCCCTTGTATTAATGTCGTGGTTTTCGTACATAAAACTTTAAACGATCATCATTATCATCAGTGCACACACCTCTTTGCTCTCTAGCCACCCTACTGCTTGCAAACAGGTTTCTTTTGTGGATGACTCGAGCAGACGACAATAAGCGCGGCGACGCATGTTGCATTCCCCACCAGCCCATGCGGATAGACTGTAGAGCCTCACTGTGCCAATCAAGTATTTTTTTTCTCATAGTTTTCATACCTATAATAACCATTTTAACGGTCTAACCTCAAGAAAATTAATTATTTTCAATCTCCCACATGGGCTTTGGCGACGCCATTCCTCAGGGGTTCTGACAGCTATGTGCTAGACATGAATGATGGGCAGACACAAAGAAAGGTGCATAAAAAAAAGTGCACCGGGAGAGCAGAAGCACGTAGCAGTTCTTGCACATGGAGCGCTGCGCTTTCAGTACTAATGAACTGCAGTGCCGCCACTACGGACAACGCCGAAGGCACCAGGTGGCAAGGCGCGGTCACACTACTCAACAGTTCTTTTTGTACTCTGTTTCACCACTTTGGTTCAGCGATACCAAAGCTACGGGGTGTAAGAAAGCCACACGCTTGCGCACAAAAACATAGTCCCAGGTATGGTAAGTGCTTTGAAATTGACAAGGTTGACTAATATTGGCATCACATCAATACGTAATGCATTCATTTTTCACATTTCTTTTGTACGCATTAAATTATTTGTTTCTATTACTACCGCTGCGTTTACAAACCAATATAGCACCACCCCATGTTGAAGCGACCGCCCGCTTCGATCTGAACTTGCTCTCGCTACCTGCCCACTGCGGCGAGAACAAATAAATGGTGAAATCAGCCGTGAATTTGTTTCATCTTACTTTGAGGATAAAGAATAAGGTATTTTTTGTCGTTGTTAGCAAAATATATTGTGCGAAGGAACGCGTCGACCAAGAAGCAGTCATACAAGAGCCACGAACAGCGTCTGAGAGAAACAGCCACAAAGTGAAGTAATCCGCCGGCATGAATGTCTACTGGTCTTCAGCAGAGTGAGAAATCCACGCTTCAAGTTCCTGGTGTGGTTGCTTGTGTCGCAGTTTTACTGCATCTTTAAGTTAATAAACCAGCTATATTGTCTGCAGTGAGCGTGTATAGACTACTTGGCGAGCAGACGTCGTGAAGACCGTGAGCAGACGATGACACGGATGAATACATGTGGAGGGTATAATTTCCCTTCCTATTAGCTGAGGAGTCCTGTAGCTTCCACAGTGCTGAAAGGAACTTCTAAAACAACGTATAGTACACTCTAGTTGAGGCGGACATTTGTCATGTCGGGTCGCGCTTCGAGTGGTCTGTGTGCAGCGTAACTCAATGGCATCAAACAGGCAGTGTCATTATGGCGCCGCTTATAAAAGAAACGTTGTTCTAGCCGCAGAGTCATCGTCCAACATTCAAGCTGGGCGGGACTTTGGAGTGGAGCATCGCTGGAGAGGCTGCAACGTGGGACGAAAAACCGAGATCTTTGATTGTGTGCTCTTTTAAGAAGTGCGGCACACCCAATGCACTTGATGACACCGAGGATTGCGCACTGTTTGAAGACAGAGACAAAGAACTCACTGATGAGGGAAGCAGCGGCGACAACTCGTAATGAGCGTGGCATCTTTATGATGCAACTAGAAGCAGCGCAAAAGCAACAGTGACAAAGAAACACATTCAACAGGACTTGGGGCAGTATGTTTCTCGAGTTATTTGCATCATGAATCAACTGCTTTGATTCATCTTCATGTTCAATAAGTGTTTTCTTTTTGTGAACGCTGCCTTTGCTGCTCGGCCTACATTCAATGCAAGTTTTTTTTTTTTTTTTTCTTAGGATTCGGACTTTTGGGGGATCGGCTTACATTCATGTAAATACAGTATATTGACGTTTTTCAGTGCCAGTCACATCACCCGCTTCACCATGGGAGCTCTGAGAAAGAGCATGCATGCACTAGCAGTGTCCCTGAATGCTAGCCCCTCTTAACAAAAGTTCGTGGTGGTGTCAGTTGTAGTAAATACAGGAAGAAGCAGACGCTACAACAAGAGAGGGGTGGTATGCCTTCCTGCAGATTTAGAGAATTTTGTTGCAGTGGAATCAAGTGTCTGATAATCAAAGAACTTAATTACAAATCAACGGGAAGAAATTCAATTAACCATTGCGTTTCCCCTGCTATGCTTTTTGTGCAGTTATTCATTATTCTCACAGCAGTTTCTGAAAGCAGCCCTAAAAAGCCCGACTTTCTTGGCTCATCCAAAAGGTATGTACCAAATTAGGGGCTACTACAGCTGTCAAGAAACCATGACAGATGGACTAGGCTACTCTGACACAGAACGATGCTAACTTTTGTAATTTCATTATTATGACTACTGATTTTCATTTTTTAGAAGTGCGATGTTGAATTTTGAAAAAAAAAAAAAGTTTTTGTAGACGCACCTATAGATACAAGTGCATAAAACAACAAGATCTGCTACATAGCAATGAGAGTTGAAAAGATTGTCAAGGAAATTGTGGAATGGCACTGCAACTTTACAGAAAGTCTTACCTTCGAAGATTTGTGCGGAATAGGCTATACAACAACAAAAAAAAAAATACTCTTCCTAGTCACTCACGTTCTGTGATGGTTTAATGTAATATATTTCTACATGCATGCTGACATTTTGTGGGACGATGCGCATGTGTGCCGGACGAAGAGTGGTCTCCCTCAGTGTCTGGTGAACCGGTCACGCTGCTGCTGCTGGTTTGAAATATATTTCATCCACAGCCTCGTCGATATGTCGTCTCTTTTCTTACGTAACAATACGAAATGTAATATATAATAGTATAAATTGACTGCCTTTTGTTAAAACCTGGTTTGTCTGCCAAATTATTTACGTGTTCCACTTTGCTCGCCACTGACGTCGTCCACATATCCCGTCTCAAACCATACATCTCTGCATGTGATCCTACTTCCTTTTAGGCGCCGAGATGGCACTACCAGCAGCCGGAGTTATACGTTACACGACATTGGGAACAAGAGAGCATCCAGTGCAGACGACGAATGTGATCACATTTGTAATGTTGTTGCTGTACCGCCATTTTGGCTGCAGCTACCTCTGACTCCAGGTATATTTTCTAAATATATTTCTTTCATTCATACTTTCACCCCCGTGACAATATAAAGACAATTCAAATAAACTTAGCAGCATATATTTATTTACAAAAAAAGAAACAAAGATGAAAGCACTCATGAATCTCCAGACAAAGTGGCACCAGGGTTGGATATGGCAGCAGGCAGAGCACTATTTGGGGCATCGTCGCCTTTGCCACAGTTGGGTGGGTCCTTCTCGGAGTCCTCTTTAAGAGGCCCATGATCCCCAGGATTGTTTTCATGCTCAAGGAGAATCTCCTCTGGATCAGGTGCCCGTGGCAGGAACTCTTCAGTGGGATACATCCTATGGAAAACTTCCCTTGCCTGCAAGCAACAACACTGTCTTTAGACCACTGGAATGACCCCTGTCAAAGGTTTAGTGACTGCACATTGGAAAACATTAAAAAAAGAAAATCGGGGAATATGTAATAAATACAAGGGGTGTTCAAACGAAAAGGTACAAAATGAAATTGTGAGTGTAAATGAATACTTTGTTCAAAGTATAGGCCTGAGCCTAAGTGACTCTAATAAAGAGGTGAAGTTTTTTTTTTTTTTTACCCAGACTTGTTGTGGCCACGGCAAAACCCAGTCTTTTACATTGTTTCTGAGTTCATTGTCTAAGTATAAATGCTCACACTATTCTTTTTTTTTTTTGAGGGGAGGGGGGGGGGGGGTTCAATGCCAAAATCCAAAATGTGACAGACAGATCACTTCTCACTACATCGTCCACGTTTGCGTGTTCACCGGTCATCAATTAAACTTGGGCGGTCGGGTACTCTGTTTTCACAAAGACTTGTCGGACACCCCACTCCGTCTTAGCCATACATGGTCGCCATCTGGCAATGAATGGTAGCCTTCAACTGCCAGAAATGGGATAATGCCTCGCTGCTCCTCAAGTCTAATTTTGTAATGTGAACGCACAACGCCTCATTGTTGGTAGGCTGGCACAAGAGCCTCTCCTGTGCATGCTCCGATTGCATCCCAAGATGTCTCACTACCTTAATTATTAAAAAACTAGACGTGACTGCGGGCTGCGCACGGGAGGGTGGCAGCGCAATCCAACGACGCGCGTCACAGGTATGCCTCAGCATGGTGGCGCCACGGTATGTCCTCACGCCCAATAGCATAACGCTAGTTTTCTGTACTCTTCTGAAACGCTCTGTTACACACATTAACACAATTCCTTAACCTACATAAAGCCTGCTAGGGTAAGTTAGTAGCAGAGTTTCAAGCACAGGAGTGGCTCTGTGGTAGAACACTGGGCTGCCACGGAGAAGACCCGGATTCGAACCCTGTTCCACCCTGGATATCTTTTTCTTTGTATTTTGTGCGAAACTGGTTATGGGCAGCCCGACGGCAGACAACTAAGTACAGCACCAGAAACAGCCCTTGTTGTGATCTCATAACCGCTTCAACTGTAAAGTTTTTGAGCACAGTGTTTCCCTGCACTTCCTTTTCAAAGGAATTATGCTGACTTGTGATGTTGAACCCAACCATTCAATTCGTGCACTACCAATGGCGGTGCTACAAATGGCACTCTGGTGATGCAATCTGGAGACTCTGGCTTTTTGATGTCTGATAGCCTCTCGCTAGAACAGCAGCATTTTAATTATAGTTCACTCTCATAGCAGGCCTCTATTACTAGCTGTATTTTATTCTAGCGTTAGTTCTATAGAAGGCTGCCAAAAATACAGGAAGTCAACAAATGTTTGTATTTAATGCACATTTCATAATAACCACAACCACTGTGGTGAGGATATAATGCCTCAAAGTTGATAGTGTAACTCAGTGGGTTAGATTGCATTGATACTTCTTGCCTGAAAGCATGTATGACTTGCCAAGAGAGCTAATAAGAGTCTATGGCACTTGGGAAGTGAAGTAGGACAAATTTTAGAACTTGTTCACAAAGCTTGGCTTGCCGACTTGAGTTGGACGCAAATTCACACTTGGCCCACCATTGTAGTCATGCGCACATTTGTATACAAAACGTTTGCTGACAAAATGAAATTGATCAGTTAGTTCACTGACAAGTGCATCATTGCTGACATAGCCAGGACTCACCCCATACCAGCACTTAATGAATGTTCATTTTTAGGTATTCAACTTGATTTATTTTTGAAATTTAACATTCAGTAAACAAGAAAACCGCATATGGCATCAGGGTCCTCTTAAAGACGAGATACTAATTTCAAAGGCACACTCTTTTGACATTATACTATGCCTTTATCTTCAGTCATGTAAATTATTGTATAGCATCACGGGGCCTTGCATATCACTGTCATGTAGCCCCTTTGCAACACATCCAAAATAATGCTATTTGCGTTATCACTTCAGATCCTTACAACGCTCATGTTACCTCCATTTTCACCGAGTTGAATCTGCTCACATTAAATAAGCTTATCTCTTACAATCACAGCATTGTCATTTATCGCATGCTCAAGAATCGGCAATTACATTATGTCAATGGTCAAAACAGCCTTGCTAATCCAAATAATAATAGGTGTTCTTCAAAAAATAACATTTTACTTCCGAAATCACAAAGCAACTACGGAAAACTAACTGTCAGTTTTGCAAACGTCAAACTATGGAATGATCTACCTGTTCTTTTAAAATCTTGATCTTCACAGTCATCATATCAATGATTATTAAAAGCTTATTTGGTTTCTTTGCAAATACTACTGATTCTTTATTTTCAGTGAAGTTTAACTTTTTTATTTGTCTTTTCATTTGTTATTTGTAATCGCTATCCTTTCAGTGTATTTTTTTTTCTCAGTCGTGTTATGCAATAAAATCTTGTGCTACCACGCTCGTCCTTATCATTTCAAGCAATATGTAAGTTTCGTATATATTTCTGTTTGCATATTTAATTTTGGTCTGTGGTTGATAACAAGGGGTCCTGTTACAGTTCTTTACTGTGGGACCTCTTTCTGTATACTTTCTTCCCTTTTGCAATACCTTGAGAAAGAATAAACTTGAACTGGCACTGCATGTTAAAACTTGTTGCACATACTATCAGTGCAAAATGAAATGCAAGCAGTTGTGCGCACGGTGTAGTTTGCAGCATCATGGTTGGAGTTCAGTTTGCCGCTCAGGCACCACACATATGCTTTCGATTGACTACTGCTGTACTGTGCGACCCCTAATGCCCTGTAAGCACACCAGTGCAGTAAGGTTCTTGTACATACCACTGGGCCTCCACCATGTAAGTCATGTGACCCGTCTCATGCCAGCCTATGTCAGTCTCGCCTAGGCTCGGTCCAGTGCCGTTGCGCTCCCTGCCTGACACACAACAACTACGCTGGCTTATAAAAAACGGTGCCCACCTCAATGACTGGGTGTTCGTAGTCCAAGTAAGGGCCCGGAGATGAGACGAGTATGAGCCCGGGTGGACAATTTTCATTCAAAGGTGCCTGTGTTGTATCTTCAACATTGAAGTACAGTATGTACAATGCTTTTGGCTTAGACTTGTCTTCACCTGCGCAACCAGAACAAAGTTTGCACACCACATGCATACAGGCTGTCCAGAGCATTGCCTACCTTCATTTGAGCACCCCTAAGTGGTGTGACTAAAGAGGAACTCAAGTGATGTTTATATAGCCACCAACAAAACTTTAAAAATATGCTCTCTTCAGTACCCTAATGATATGTGCCAAATTATACAGCCTCAATTCGCTTAGCATTTTAAGAAAAAGTGAATTTTAAAATTGGTTGCCAATTCCACAATCATGTTCGCAAACCCAGGCCAAGCTGGTATGTGACGTAACGTGCCTGCTCTTTCAACCCCGCCTCGCCCAGCAGATGGATGCAGCACATGCTTTCTTATACGAGCACATACTATGCGAGGTTTTGTCAGCTGCACAGTGCGTTCTTATTGCTAACATCGGGTCTTGCAGTAAGCATGCACAATATTGAGCAACAAGGAGATCAATGCGAGGCACGTCAGCTGCCTTACGCGCCGGTTGGTCGAAATCAAAAAGCCTTGCTTTCATAGTAGCTGAAATCATTCCTGAACTCTACAATTAGTAAGTTCAGATGGCCTGGTACAGCCTAATTCAATTTTGGATGAAATCGCCAGCTTTCTTTCCGTATGATGGAAGAAGCACATGTGCTATGTTACAACCTGGCCAGCTGTGGCAGCGCGTAGCAGATTTTCATGATGCCTTCGCACACACTACATGTTTCAGTCTTGGTTTTGACTCTTAGTTTATTGACTGGTTGATTTAAATAACTTCAATGTTCAAAAAACTTTATTGCTTATTTAAAATTATTTGCAAAATAAATCACCCTAGCTGTTACAGGACTGTTGATACTACTTAAAAACAGTGTTATGTATCTAAATGTGGTTGTAAATGCACCGGAGTTCCCCTTTAAGTACAGTGCACGTAAGTAAAAGGCTGCATCTAAAACACTTGAAAGATCGTCATATAAAGGGCTGCTAAGCAGCAACAAAGCAAGAGCTGCATGCTACATCACTGTAGCTCACAACGGGCAGTCCCTTATGCGCCAGCACTCTTCGGCGTGTTCACTCTGAGAGTGCACATATGGCCCATTACACCCATTGTCTTTTGAATCCAGAAGTACACAATACTCGCTTGCTGGCATATTTTACTGCCACAAGCAGACACTAACACTGCGCCATTCCTACATCAATGTCAAGCCCCATTGCTTTTGATCCAGAAGGAGGGCTGTAACGTGGAACTGAGTGCTGTGCCAAAATATAAAGTGACAAAGAAAATTAAGTTTTCAACCTTTACCTTCACGTGACGTGTCAAAAAGCATTTGGACAGTGGGCGCCAAATCTTGTTCGGCAGTTTCCTGAACACTGGGGCAGGTCAAGTGAACAACATCTGCAGAAAAAAAAAAAAAAAAAACTTTCCATCATTTTCATCACACAGAACTTTGAATGTGTGGGGTTCAGCTCCAGGCTAGTGAAAGGGGGGAAGTCACTGACAATGTAACTTTCAGATCATGGTTATTACACATGTAAAGTGATGCAAGGATGTTGCCACTAGGCACTATGTGTTTCAGGGTTTGCTAACCTGTTTTTATATACAGTAGACTCCCTGAAGGAACCACTATCATTTGATCGTCTTATCGGGAGTTTGTTATATCAGAAGTGCCCCAAAAACCAAATGCTAACATGCCAAGTATGCCCAAATATGTTGCTTGAAAACACTGAATGGAGTACACTTACAATGGGGAGGAAAGGAACAAGAAAAGCATTTTGGCTCAGCCTGATAAACACTGTGCTTTCAAGTAGAGTATTTAGACTAATCTGACTAGTACTCAATTTCACGGGTTTTCACCACATTTTGATAATAAAACTGTAGCACAACCTTATTTCAACAGTTAAAAAAATATAAAAAGTGTGAGACAAGCACAATTTTTCATCAAAGAATGGTAAATTTATTGTTCTGGCTGTTCATTTTCTCAGAGACTGTTTTACTGGCTTTGCTGTCACTTTTGGATATGCCTTCATTGCATACCTTGACAAAGCCAATTCACACCAAGTTGCTTATCAAAGTCTGTACACTTTTTTTTTTTTCTTGAGGTTCCGTTATTTTCTTATTTTCAGCCCGCAGTAACTTTTCCTGAATGACATGCAGCTGAAGGTCTACCTTTACGCTACTCACGATCACAAGCCTCTTGAGAACACAAAAAAAGCACACAACGCAGCTATATTTAGTGTGCAAGAATGATCTTCTTTTGTCGTGCACTTTCATGGTTAAAATGGCACACCACAATTTGCTGCATTTTATTGCAAACAGATACGACACACATAGGTCCTATGCAAAACAAGGCAGACTGACCACAACATGAGCTCGGGCACCATTGTGTGACGGCGATAACAGTGCATCTGACTCCTGTGATGGGAGTGCTAATACCACATATGTGGTTTTTCCGTTTCATGTGATTATAATGTACAGACTATCTTTGTTCTCGTTTTAACTTTCATTTGGCTTTTTTTCGTCCCCTATCCCTTTCAATTTTCTCCTCTAGCCAAGCTCTTATGTTTTTCTGTTCTCTGCTGTACTCCTGTTGAAGAACTGAAGAACGCGAGGAGGATACCAAAATACAAACGCCTTCAAATACGAAGCATTTCTTAGCGAACTTCAGTGACATTGAGCATGTCTGTCTGTCTATCTGTCCCAAAATTGGTATGGAATAACATGACGGTATGACGAGAATAAGTGACTAGTCATAGCATGAAGATCATGATATATGTGTCATGAATGTCATGATTTACATTTCATGGCCTTACTGCTCTTGCGGTGGTTTTGTTCACATGACATATTGCAAAAATAGTATGGTATGATGACTGCATGATGAAAATAAGTGACAGACCCTAATGTAGAAATCATGACATGCATGTCATGTAAGCCATGACTACACGGCACGCTCATGGTGCGGTCGCGGTGGTTTCGCTAGCTGCACATACACCAAATTACGCTTTACGGGACATGAATGGATGACGAAGGTATATGACTAGTGCAAACATGATAATCATAGGTCCGTTTGATTCACCTGCACCAGTCGGAACGGGTTCACGGCTGTGCACGTGAAGCTCAGAAATTGTGCAGCGTGAGTTCAGCGGGGCAGGCCTTACTTCTGTTCGCTTAATTTACATCGTTCAGCTAACACTGACCAATGACGAATTGCACATGTGAACAGTTTATGAGGCGCAAACATCTTCACAAAACTTGCCGCGTTTGTAGAGGCAGCTACAGCGCCTACGATTAAGTGCTGCGTCGTCTGCTAAGCTGCACGCGCAGCTTCACCAAGCCAGCACCGTCAGCGTAGGAGGGGCAGGAAAATCGTGAACCAGTGCTGCACCTCTTCTGCACCTTTTGAAACCAATGGCAGGGTTCAGAGGTCGTCAGTGCTGCACCGCTGAAACGAATGGCAAGGTGCAGCACCTTGCGAACTGGTTCACGTGGTGCAGACGAATCGAACGGACCTCATGAGATGCTTGTAATGCGAAAACATGACTACATGCCACGCTCATGATGCGCTCGCGGCCTTTTCCCTAGCTCCACATATGCCAAATTTGGTGTTACACAAGGTAAATAGACTGCAAAGGTAGACTGACACGTCCAAACATCATAATCATGACATGCGGGCCATGTGAAGCATGACTACAGACTAGGCTCATAGTGCGGTCGCAGCCGTTTCGCTAGCTCTGCATATACGAATTTTGGTATCACGTGATGCGAATAGACGACGAAGATAAATGACACGTCCAACCATGATAGTCATGATATATAAATCATGTACGGCATAATTTACATTCACCTCGTAACGTTGTGCTAATTTTTAAGTGACATATCAAGCTTCCTCACTCGTGCTTCGCATATCGATTCCCACGGTACGTGGGGATCTGCCAATTCTTTCCTGCTTTCTTTGCTGATAAAGCTGGCCTTTTCTCTATCTACAGGCTAAGGGGTGAGGGAGATTCCAGCTTTATGCATTGACATTTCTTTTCCACTAACCTCGCTTCCTCCCTCATGTTGCAGTTTGCCTTTGATTTGCTACGAGTCATTGTGCTAGGAAGGTTTTTATTTCTCCTTCTCTTTTTTTTTTTTTTTTGAAATATAGAAAATAAAGGAAGTAGTTCTTGTCCCCCTTACTTGGTGATGGTTACCCTTTCCACTTGATTGTTACAAATAAAGAATTGGTTGATTTGTGGGGTGTAACATCCCACAACCACCATATGATTATGAGAGATGCCTTGGTGGAGGGCTCAGGAAATTTCGATCACCTGGGGTTCTTTAACAAAAAAAAAAAAAATGGCATATATACATATATACAGTCTTGTATACGTGGGCATCTGGGGAGAAAGTCCTCTTCTCTTGTTTGCCTGAATGCCCCTACCAAGACTAAAATGTTCATTGCACAGAAAGACCTGTCGTCGGTCGCTGTGAGAGTTGTTCTTCACAGAAGAGGCCTGCTATGCGGTTCATCTCAAGCATATTTTTTTTTTTTTTGCATCGAGTCTATGGGAAACCAAACAAACACTCTTGTGTTGTTCATCTTAAGCAAGAATTCGTCTTGACAGAGTACGTCTTAAAGGGAGCTCACTGCATTCGCAATCATAAAACATCAGATTGAAACTTTTTCAAGGAGAATCCACATGATTAACATGCTTAAAAAAGTCTGTGCCAGTTACAGAGTAAGTCCGGTTGTTTACCTATATTCAGTCATTTATTTAATGATCATGGGCTAGTTGTGATTCATTATTAGGAAAGGCAATGCAAAAGCACAGAACAGAGAAAGACAACATAAAGAGCTACTGACAAATGCTTATTTACCAAGAAATACGCCAAGCTTATATAGATTAAAACTTGTTTACACCAGAAAACAACAGCAAGAACAAGCATAAAGACACAGAGCAGCTTTCAAGAAACAAACAGTTGCTTGAAGACAAGAGAGACAAATATAGGGGCGGAAGTGGGCCTGGATCTTTTAAAGCAGCTCGGGGGCAGGAATACTGCTGTTTTGGAGCTGCTTGAGAGCGGTTAAAAGGGAGTTGTGGAGCAGCTTTTGAGCATCAAAGGGTGTGCTTGGGTGCAGTGCAGGTTAGTTTTGGAACGTATTTCTCGGTTCAGAGTGAGAGAGAGACACACACACACACACACAAAGTTGAACCCTCTTATAATGATAGCAGTTTTAATAATATATCAGTTACAATAATAAGAAGCTCCTGCGTCATCAACTTTTATGTTTTCTACGGTGCAAGGACCTGCTTAAAGCAAAGTTCACATGCAGCATTATCTGTTACAACAATGAATCCTGGCTGTTGGGTGTCTGTGCTGAAAGGTAATGGGACGTGAAATCCTTGAAAAAGATTAAATAAAAAATCGAGGAATTCAAGCTAGTGAACTCCCGTCCACAACCTTAACGTCCCCCAGTGCCCCTCTGGTTTTGAGGTATGTTCCGCCGCACTCTAATTGAGGCAGATCAGACTTTCAGAATGTGCTACGACGCAAGAGTAGCAGTGGCTTTGTTAATGCATTTTCAAACACACGATTTGAATAAATGTTTAGACTCGTAAGAGTTTCAGCATCCAACACTTCATATGTTGTCATACACTGGCTACATAAGGCTTGTGGCAGTCCCGTGAAAGTGTTGGAATTTTCAAAGATGTGCATGCAAGCATTTGTAACGAACACGACTGAGTCAGAGATAAAATGAGCCGGTTATCTTCATTGCACGAAAGCTGAATGTGATAACATCGCCAAGTGTGCAGGGCTGGCTGTTGATGGCCCCTCAAGCAGAGGAAAGGCCTCACCTGTCTCTCATTGAGCGAAGAAGCGTGCGGGGAGGCTGCGTCATGAGAGCAGCAACTTGGAACTTTGACGATAAGGGCACAGTCGCTGGCACTAAAGTGTGTGCTATCTCGGCATACATCAGTAAATGGCCCACTCACTTCGCATTCTGATTACAGAGTACGAAAACTGCTTCGGTGCACAGAGCCATCGTATTCCCATACACCCCCAGCGTGTTGAAAAGTTACACGACAAATGAGACTTTCGTTCAGAATCTCGTTCTGGCAAACTTGGTGCCTTGAGGTAGTATTGCCATGTTCCTTTCCTCAAGTATTGTTATCGCCCCGTTACACTATGTTCAGCGCAAGCCGTGCCTACAGTGTTAGAGAAGCTTCGAAACTGTAGTAGATCGTTTTGTTAAGATTACGCCCCCTTCGTGAACCTTTCAGATTATTCTGGAACCTATGTCACCGCTAGAAATAATGCTAAAATGTTCGATGGCGAATGTGTAAATGGCGACACGCTTCGCCGCTTGTCATTTGATCGACGGCCGACGCTCTGCTCGCCGCTATCAGTACCAGTGTCTTGCTGTAATGTGACTTTTCTTTTATGTGGCGACATGTTCGGCCAATTAAATAAAAACACATTTGATTAAGACAAGTCATCTCAACCTTTGTCAGCATCACGACTCCGTTACACCTTGGTGGAGGTGCCGAGTATCAGTCCCAGTACCTCTCCCTTTTCATGATGACCCAGCGGGTGGCCACCTTGGTTTTTCCCTCACGCTCGCAAGAATACAAAAAAATAATACTATTGGCCACGCCTTGCCGCCAACGTCGCTCATTACATGAGGTCATGCCGGGACTGCCAGCGACGCAAGACACTGCCAACAAAGCCAGCAGGACTTCTGCAGCCCATCGAAGCACCTCGCCGACCATTCCAGCAAATCAGTATGGACTTACTTGGGCCGTTCCCGATATCGGCTGTCGGAAACCATTGAATCGACGTAGCTACTGGCTACCTTACTCGCTACGTCGAGACAAAAGCCCTGGCCAAAGGTCGTGCATCAGAGGTAGCCAAATTCTTCGTCGAAAACATCGTCCTGCATCTCGGCACCCCTGAGGTCCTCATCACCGACAGAGGTACGGCATTTACTGCTGAGATAACCCAGGCGATTTTGGCATACAGCCAGACAAGCCAACGCCATAAAACAGCGTATTACCCAGAGACGAAAGGCCTCACCGAGCGCCTAAACAAGACTTAAGCAAGACAAGTGGCGCTGACTGACACTCCCACGTTTAATTCACACATATACCCAATAAAGTGGAAGGGGATATAGCCGCCATGGTAGCTCAGTTGGTAGAGCATATAACGTGTTATTCGAAGGTCACAGGTTCAGCTTCTGCCCATGGCAAGTTATTTTTTCACCCACTTTTTTTCTTCACATTTACACTGCAATTGCCTCATATAACACGTAGGCAGGATAACCGCTGGTCATTAAAGGTAACTGACTAGATTTCCAGAGAAGGCAAACACCCAAAGTGGAGACAGAAAGTTAGGTAGGCCAACGAGGTTAAAAAGTTCGTAGGGATTCATAACGTGGGAGCAGAAAGCGCAAGACCGGGTTAATTGGCGGATCATGGGAGAGGCCTGTGCTCTGCAGTGGGACCAGTCAGGCTGATGATGGTGATGCCTCATATAACATCCCCTATACTTTCTTTGGCATGATTGTCTGTTTGACCTCATTATTATCATGCCTAACAAAGAAAACTAGCCCTTAAGTGTACACTTCTCCCCTTCATTCATAGCGAGGGTCGTTTTGGCAGACTTGGTGCCTTCAGGTAGTATACGAGGATCAGCTGCCAGCTCGTAATGAGATCACGTGACGCCAAACAGGCAAAAAAACATTTGCCGTCATGGCTGGTACTCCCATGCTTAATTCAGACATATACCCGACAAAGTGGACAGCCGCCGTGCTAGTAGCTCAGTTGGTGCTTATCTGTCCCCCGACAGAGAAGTCTAGCAGACAATTTACAATAGGTGTCATACTAACAAACCCAAGACCACGTTATTACAGTGGTTGCTTTGTATTGCACATAATGCACAAACAATGGAAGGACAAACAGCAGTGCACCTTTATATCATACCTTATTGTTCGTGCTGATTCATTCTTTGAACCATATTTACATTTTTTAGGTCTCACAAAAACATAAACAAGGCTAAGTTGATTATCAACATTTAATATGAAATGAATGCCCCGAAAGCAAGCAGTAGTAAAGTTTCTCGTTTGTATGTACTATCGGCGTCAAATGAATCCCGAACATCAGCAAGCCTTTGCGATAGTGTAGTGCGTGCCGTCCAGTTACCACCATTGACAGGCGCACATCATGTTCGGCAGCTCGGCGCATATATGCGTGCCTGTCCGTAGTGATAAGTGGACGGCACACACTATACCATCGCAAAGGCTTGCTGCTGTTTGGGTTTCATTTGACGCTGATAGTGCAGTCAACCAAATCTTTAGCCATTGTGCATCAGTGGCAGTTTTTCTGTGTATCTTTGCTATACAACTGAATTAAGTTACTAAAAAAAAGGTAAGAACAAGTGTCTGCCCACAAAGCATATCAGCTTCACTGACTCAGTTATGGTGGTGAATTTCTCTCCTGGTACACGAACATCTAGAGAGATGCTTTCAGGCTGCTGTTTGAATGAGCACTCACAGAGTCCAGGTGGACAGACCATCATGCCGGGCCCCTGCTCTTGCACCAGAACAGATTGTGCCAGCTGCTTACTTGGCTCAAGTCTGAGAAGAGTGATCTGCAAGGCAAGCAGTTGCAAATATTAGATTAGCAGCATGCACCCAGTCCTCTAAAAAACATTGTTTGGCAAGTCACTTTTAGGAAACAAGGGGTGTTTTTAAGTCAAATAGGAATTACTTGTTAAAATCAGCACAATATGAACTAAGATATAATATTTTAAAATTTTCTAAGCATGTAAAATGTGAAAGTTTTGCTACATCAGATGAGCTAAAAAAAGATGCGGCCTAGAATTGTTCAAGGTTTGCATGAACTCCCTAAGAAACATGGGTGTTCTAATTTTCAATAATCTTCATGATAATTTCTGCCACTAGACAACATGAAAATATGGCTTTGGGGTAACCATCTTTACCTGCTCTTTATCTGCTGGGTGAATTGACTCGTCGGATATTACGATGGCTCTTGACACTCTGCGAGCAATAGAGAAGGCGTGTAAAGATGCAGTGCGACACAGGCCACAATAGCAGCAATACCTTTGGATGTCCCTTGATGAAACCATTTCAGGTGGGGCATAGCTTGCTCCCATGACAACCCATCTGCACATCACATTAATAAGGCACAGTATTAAAATATGTACATACGCAGTACTTTTGCAACAACTGACCGAGCACCACAACACGAGACCTGCAAGTACCCATAGGAGATGCCTTAACAACCCAGAAATGTGAAAATATATATATATATATATACATTATGTTGCAAAAGCACAGCTTTCTTTGTAAATACTGAACTATATTTCTTGGATGACACCTGCAAATTAGTAAAAAGAATTGATAAATATGTACCTGCTATAGTAAGAAATTTTGTTGATTGGGGAGACAAGCACCTTGTTTCCTGTACAAGAAACCAAGAAACTTTTAACGTTAGAATTATAGATTACCATGCACCCTTGACTCTTCGTCATACAAATTTACTATACCTGCTTGGAAAAGAACTTGCTGCCACGACAAAGGCCTTCCCATTTGTAGTTTTGTTCACAACACCATCTGTCGCTGCTGCAACTTAGCTCACCATTGTAGTCTAGCAGGCTCTGTAGTATCAAAAAGCCCATTCGCAGTACGCTTAACCCAAAGAGTTTTCTTGGTTTATATAGTGCACATAAACCGTGGAGGCTTTTTCAGACACCCAGTTCAAACTGAACTTCCCTTTTCTATGAAAAAATCCACTTTGTTTGCAGCAAACGATGGTGAATGACTGCATATAAAATTGGCTTTGCTGACCCCAACGTGAGAGTTTTATGCCTTACTTTTTTAGACTGCTTTCCCTGTACGAACGTCTCTTCTGGAGTCCCTCAAAGATCTGTCCTGGCTCTCCTGCTCTTTCTTATTTACATTAACGACTTACCTTTATCTGTTACTTCTCACATTCACTTGTTTGCCGATGACTGCGTCCTCTTTCGTGAAATATCTAATGACAATGACCTATTAACCGTTCAATCCGATCTTAACTCTATTTCTGTGTGGTGTAAAACATGAGTAATGGAACTCAACACGAACAAATGCAAGTTCCTTCGCGTATATAGAATTAACCGTATATTGCCCACTTACTATCTGAACGATGCTCCACTGGAATCTGTCAGCACTTACAAATATCTCGGAATACATATTACTACCGACCTCACTTGGTCCGTGCATACCACGTACGTAATTAATAACGCTAATCGCATGCTCGGCTACGTTCGTCGAAATTTCTCACAGGCTCCTTCAACACTAAAACTAACTCTCTACAAGACGCTTATCCGCTCCAAACTGGAGTATGCGGCATCAGTTTGGGATCCTAACCAAGAAAATCTAGTACACTCACTTGAAATGGTTCAAAATAACTCTGTTCGTTTTATACTCTCTAACTACAACCGGACTGCCAGCATAAGCACTATGAAATCCAGCCTCGGATTACCTTCCTTATCATCTCGTAGGAAAATCCTTCGCCTCTGTCTTTTCCATAAGCTTTTCTATCACAGCCAGCTACGAAACGAACTCATTCTGCCTCCTCGGTACATTTCAGCTCGCATAAATCATGTCCATAAAGTCGGCTTGCCGTCCTGCACAACTAACTCCTTTTGCCAGTCATTCATACCGCATACATCACAGGAATGGAACCACCTACCCGCACTGACGGCAACAATTTCGGACTACCAACTTTTTAAAACTGCTTTAGCTAACATTGTATAACGTGTAACACTGAAGTACATTGCATTTTCCTGGTTTTGTTGTGTTTATACCTTTTTTTTTTTGCTCTGTTTTATATTATGTTTGTAACTATTGTAACCCACTCCCCTCTCTAATGCCTCTGGTCCTGAGGGTACCTAAATAAATAAATAAATAAATAAATAAATAAATAAATATTGAGCATCCTTAGGCCTAACAAAATAATAATTTGAAACAATCCTGCAACTTTTAAATTTTCACTTTATATGCATTGCTCATATTTATTTCATTTTTATTACAAACAAAAAAAGATTAAATTTTGTGACATTTGATAATACAAGTCAGCATTTTCACTTCTTTTCTTCTGCTAGGGGATGCCACAGTCACAATTTGGTCACATAAACACCATCTGCTATACTGAAAGTCATTTTTCACAACAAATGTTTGGAGTAAGGTAATTATTTCTTTTACTCTCCTACCACGCTAATGCTACACAACAATTTTTAATGCAATAGTGTTAAATAGCTCGTTTCACAGAAATTCGTCGTTGGTTGTGCGTGAAAAATAATTGCTTGTGTGACTGAAAAACAAGAAAGATGCAAATAAAATAAAAAAGTCCAGGTCCGAGTGAGGATCGAACCCGAGTCATTTGCACGGCAAGCAGGTGTTCTACCACACCACGTGTCTGCTTGAAAAATCAGTGAAAATAACTTTTTCTGCTTGACAATGCAGTGAAAGTAACTTTTCTGCTTTACAAACACTAGCATTTTGTATACAAGCTTCACAATGCAACATATAACTTCGCAGTAATAATGCGTCGTACAAGCGTACATTGCCATCGGGCGTCAGAACAAGTGCTTATCATGACGATTTCATGATTTGAAGCCGGTCACCCACTACAAAAAGCACACACGTTATTGCACCTATTCCCTTACGGCCACGTAGCGGGTGCATTGCAACATCGAAAAGATCTCATGCGCATGATTGCCCATGATAAAGAATGCATTCATATGCAAAAACTTCACGCACACAAGCCACTTTCAGCTTTATAGATTACACTGTAGTAATTCACAATTTAAACTTCTCGAATAATATCAAACAATAAAAATAATGCACCACGTGTTTGGATAGGCACTAAGTAAGGCGAAGCTTAAGGTCCCTTCCAAGGGAAACCACCCTGCATGCATATGTGTACACAAGCAATAAATAATAAAACATTTCGGAGAACCCAACCCCCGTTGGTCGAAAGAAGAAACAGACGACACCAGGAACCATTCACATCAAATGTGCTCCAAATGAAACACCGTGTCCCAGAGTACAGATGTGAAAACAGATAGCATTGTTTTGCTAACTCGAGCGAAGCAGATTGATTGTTAGGATCAAGCAGTCTTCCCGGCTCACAGAAAAGTGAGAAGATTCATAATGCTCTCAAGAGCCTCTTTTAAAAAAGCATCTTCCAATGATTCACAAGTTCATTTCATGTTATGCCTGCCAAGTTTTTCATTGCATTACACCACCTAACTAACTGCTGCCCTAGCCTGTGTTCACCATTACAGGGGTCTTTCCAAAGAATTAAATGTTTTAATAATATAAGAGAGAGCTGAGCCAGTTGGTACATATTGGTAGCTGGTACATTGCAGTTGGTATGTTTTATATGGCCGTAACACCTGTACCTGCAGTTGAAGCGCCTGCCATTGGACACAATTCCTATGCAAGCACCATCTTCATTCAGCAGAAGAGCACCAGGTCCCCTTTGCAGGTGATAGATGCCTCCATAAACTGCACATAGCCTGCAACACACAATGGCACACCCTCAAATATGGCACAAGACCACAATCTCAATACTTTGTGGCACATAAAACATCCTTGAAACAACTTCGACCAAAGAACATCGGAAGATTATAATAAGCTATGACTTTTAATAACTAAGCAACACAGAGTTTTTATTTTGCTTCGATAAGCTGCAATTGTCGGCGCACTTGAGTAACATTTGACTATAAACTACGAGATCGACCAATAGGTAAAAGCATTGTTGGCGGGGTAGTGAGGGCAGGCGATTGAGCTGATTGTTGGCGAATAACAAGATGCGATGACTATAGCTTATTGATGACGGTTCTTGTTGCTTTATTTGTGGATGTTTAACTAGTGTTTAACCTACAACGCACTGCTGTAGCACGACTGAACAACTTGAGTATTTACTTCTTGCTCATCTCGATACCAAAGAAAACGCCCATACTCCTGCGTAGCCAATTTTAATAGTACTGCGCTCTCGAATACAAATATGCATTTTTTAATTCGGGTCTACATGAAATGCAAGAATAAGTTGAACTCCTTTATAAGAGACATGCACTGGGGAGGAATTCTTGTCTTTTGTACGAGGTGTCTCTCAAAGCTGGGTTCCACGAATGCATTTTCTTTTCAACACCCATTTCAATGCAGGCACACTTGTGCCTCTTATACCAGTTTGCCTCTTACACAGGGGTTCGACTGTATTGATAAGTTTATTCAGGAAACCTACATGGCAGACAGTGCTTTAGCACCGTGGAGATGTTTAATATGTAACAAAGTGTTAGGCTTATTGTTAGGCATATATTTAATTGGCATATATATTAATTGTTAGGCATATATTTAATAAGTACCAAAGTGTTAGGCTTAGGATGTACCAAAGTGCTTGGTACCAAAGTGAGTACCAAAGTGTTAGGCTTTAATCAATATATGTACACATATTTCTCTGTAGTGGGACCGCAACCACACAATAACTGATAAACCACCATTATCCACCTAACAACAATGCAAATGTGCACAGCCTAAAGCCACATTTCTCGTTTACTAACAAGTCGCGAAAAGGCTGATTTACTCACACACTCTTCCTATTCGGGACGATGCCAAGTACATGATCTTACGCATACACTTTTAATTGCCTTTTGGAATGAACGCAGTTTTTTTCTACATAGTGTAAACAAATTTAAGAGTACGCTGCTTAACTTGGATGATCACATTTTGATGAAAGAGCTTGGGGCCGAATAGTGCGTAGAAGTGAACCGGAACTTCAGATGTTCTGATGGAGGCAGTGTGCTCCATAATGGGCTCCGAAGACGCCTCTCTGTGGCATACGCCAGTTTTCTTCCAAAAAAATCTTGAAACCCTCTTACGACCACATGACATGAATGTTTATTTTAAAAAAAAAGGTGTCAAAAAAAAATTTTTGAAAAGAAGTGGGAGTAAAAAAAACATATGGCAAACATGAAAGTCCCCCGGAAGCGGCACTTTCCCTGTAAGGTTATGTCCAGTCATCATCGATGGACGAGCTTCTTGATCACATGAGCAGTTTTCACCACAAATAGGATCGAATCACGCTGGGATCAACAACACCATCAGTTGACCAGCTTTCTGCTCCTCATTCTGGCAGATCAACAAAACTTCTCGAAGGTGCTAATTTCATTTATTCACGCACAATGCACTTTTGGACAAGTCAAAATTGACTGAAAATATCGCAAAATTATTATGTCATTCATTCATACCTTGGCAGTTTTAAAGGGTTAAATGTGGGGGGAAAAATTATATATGCAACCAAGTTTTCAAAAAATATGTCAATGATTATTCTACTGCTTAGAGATGTGCTACAAAAGGGTGAAAAGCAGCAACTTACTGATTTCTTTCAAGCGCCACATCAAATGCACACACGTTTAGTGCCCGCCTTCCAGCAGAATGCGTGTATCAGACTAGATAGCTTTTCTTTTTATTCAATAATAATACTGTAAGTAGAATACTTCACTCTGCAGCTGTAAGTACAGTTTTTTGCAATGTAGGTGGTAATAATATTACTCACTACACTACAACAGAATCTGGCACCAGCCTATTCAGCTGTGCCATCCTAACAGCATGCACTTGCCCGCTGCATTGCTATGCACTACTTTCACAATCTGTTCCTAATTTTTTTTGTTTTTGTTACTACAAGAATCGTACATTTTACGTATAGTTTTTCAGTTTGCAGCTCAAAGTCACAAATGATCGCGGTCGAAAATGCATTACATTAAAATTAACTACCGCAATGCTTCAGTTACATGGACGTGAAAGACTGACTTCTTTTGAGAACGGGGTTCAGAATAAAAAAGGGAAATACATGAGTTGACTCTGCAGAAGTTTGTCGCATCTGGTTAACATTTATGTTTCAAGTACTCCGTGATGACACAATGCTTCTAAAACCGCTGGTATCCGTACTCAGTTTAGTGCTGTTTCTATGAATGTCACACAAAGAGGTTTGTTGTGTGCAGCACATATCTTGATAAGCTGATATTACTGAGAAATTGAATCAAATATTGTGTTCAAGAATAAGCTCTTAAGATTTCTTTCATTTAATAAGCTGATGCAGCAGATGGCCGAGATACATGTGGAGTACCTATCTCCAAAACTGGCTTGCCCTCTACGATGAAACCTTATATTTTATTTGTACACTATGGTTGTCTAAGGTACACTGGAGTATTCGAAAAATGTTCATTTTGTTTGCGTCCCTGACAAAATCTGTGACAGTGCCACTACGCATTCACTCAGTAATTGCATTTAAAATAAGACAAATTAGGTATGCAAATAGAGCGAACAGGAATGAAACGAACCATACAAAGAGGCACTTTACAAATACTATAAGTACGCCTACGTTGACCAACTATACATGTTTCCCTTTTACCATATTAGTGTGTATGCTCACAATAAATGTAACGAAGGCATGTCTTTACGATGCAGTTCAACTGTGCTTACACTTCCATTTTGACTCGAGCAATGCCTGACAGTGTTAGTAAATGTACCTTTCATAAAATCTCCTACCTGCAGAAACACTGGGGCAATTCTCCACTTCCATACAACGAAGCCAGAAATGGGCTGTTGCCGTATCTTCCCAGTGACTCCAGAAACTTCTGAACAGATTTCAACGCCTGTCACATAAAAGTATAAAACTATATAAGCTACTGCAAACAAGCACTACTCGAAGGTGTTTGTCAACTTCTTGCTAGTTAGATATTGTTCACTATAGACACCCAAGGTTCCTAAATCAAAACTAAGAATCAAAGTACTTTTGCTTCGTCGTACTAAATAATAAGCATTCCCTCGTAGTGCAGATAGTTTTTCTTTCCTAGAGAGAATATACGAAGAACTCTTCAGCCTGTTCGAATTAGGCAGGCCACCAAAGTACTGTGCATTCCAGTAGCTATTGTTATGACAAAACCCAGCCTCGAGTCATTTTTTAAGGGGCACTTAAGTCGAATAACAATTTAGGTAAGAGTGAAAACTCAATGTATGACATTGTCTAAAACGACAATATTATTGACACAAAGCAGTACCCTATATACCCGAGAAATTAATGTAAATGCATGAGAACACCTGCATTACAAGTAGAACATTCATAAAATGATCCTGATGACGTCAGAGTTACCCTCTGAATTTTCCTCCAATAATCCAGCTAGCTGCACTAAATAAAAACTTTCCGTGCATTGAGAGATGTAATAAAATGCTGCTTATTCGTTTCTGTTTGATTCACGGAAAAAGGAACCACTGGACGTTCTCATGAGCAATCGCACGAGTTGTTGAAGAGCTGAATTTTCGCTTGGTTAAACTGGACAGGTCGTGCCATCTAGGGAGGTGCAGCCTGCTCACGGCTGGTCATTTTTTCATTCACTTTTCTTTCTTCTTTCTTATTATTTACATTCCATTGGTTCTAATAACTTCCCCTGTGCATTCCTTGGCATTACTGTCTGTTAGATCTCATTAATATATGTATGTATGTATGTATGTATGTATGCATGTATGTATATATATATATATATATATATATATATATATATATATATATATATATATATATATATATATATATATATATATATATATATATATATCATGGGTTGATTGTAGGGAGGGGGGGGGCGTGCTTATCTCAAGTCATGTACAGTGTAATAATATTTTTGAGGTTTTCACGTACCATGGCCACGATATGAATGCGAAGCATGGCGCACACAGTGAGCTGCTACAGATGTTTTGACCACTCGAGGTTCTTTCATGTGCAGATGTCATTTAGCATTTGTCGAAATGCCAGCCCTGCACCGCGGCCGGGACTCACCGCACGCATGTCAGGTTAGCATCAGGGAACCCAGCCACCACGAGACGTGGCTATGTTGAATGTGTGTTTATTTGTTCCACAAACATGTAGCACTGAGTTTCTTTCTTTTTTTTTCGTTACCATGGTTGCTCGTGTATGTACGTGTTTTTTGCAAGATTTATGGCGGTAAGCTGTTGGCATCGTATAAAAGAATGACTAACTTAGCTTTGAAGGCTGCATACACAACAGGAAAAAATTTCGTTAACATACAGGCTGGGAACTAGCAAAATTTTAATGAAACAACACGACTCGAAAGGGAAACCAAAATGAAAGCACTGTGCATGAGACAATCCCATTATAATTACCAAAGCACTCACAAACCGTAAACACTATAGAGATAAAAACGCAGCGCAATCGTACTTTTAATTACCTCTGAAAAAGGTTCAATGTATACCTTTTGGTTACCCCTCGCATCTCGTAGCAGGAGATCATTAAAATCAGGCATGTAAGCAATCGCGTGTACACTCTGCAATGAGCAGGCAAGTCTCCCTGATGTGACAGGTGTTTCATGTTCTTTAAGTTCACCCCATTTGTTCACATAGCTAACACTGTATCACAAAGAATTTCATTTTTTTTTACTTTCACAGCATTGCTGTTACATCTGCTTGGTATTATTCCTTATTAAATACCTTACTCTATATATTGTTTTTATTTGGATGTAACTGTTAATCTTTTATTCATTATCAAATGTATCTCTTGTTTATGTTATGCCTTTGGGCCTTGAGGTTGCTATTAAATAAATTAACAATAAAGGAGCCACTTTTCTTCAGGTAAGTAGAGGCAAGTGGAGCTTGAAGGTTTTGTGGGTAATTTACTGCTTTTTTTTTTTTTGTCCTAACAGAGAGGTGGGCAATTTATGGAAGTCATTATGACATATTACATCTACAATGAACAACTCTTTTTTTCCTCCAAGCAATTACACTTTGGAATCGCCTCCCCGACTCCATAGTTGCCACACCTGACCGCACATCATTCCGCGCAAAATTGGAATCCCACTTTGATTCCACCCAATAACCCATGGCTGTAGATATATCCCACCAGCGTACTGTATGTATAATTTTTTTGCCATGTTGTTTGTACTCATATTACCAGTCAAAAGTTTGTTTTGTTTATTGTTTGATTAGTTTTTTATTGTCATTCTTGATCAATCTACCACATGCGTATTTAGAACTGTATTGTTTATGATAAGTTGTTCACATTGAATTGTACACCCTCACAGTGTACTTGCTGCCCCCCCTTATGTAATGCCCTCGGGCCTTTAAGGATGCAATAAATGAAATGAAATGAAATGAAATATAGTGATTCATGAAACACACGAGAAAGGCTCTGATTCATCCCGCATAAGAGGACTCTGCTCAGCGACTTATGATGCAAGTGCTACAACGAATACAAGGAAGTGAAATTATAGCACATGTGCTTTCTTCTTTGTGTCCTTTTTCAAAGACTCCATTTTTGAAAGATGCAAGGAGGTGCGAGTGGGGCGGAGAGCAGTGCTCGAGTCTCGTCTGTTTGTAGACCGCTTTTTATCTTCATACCAGCCCCTACTTTCCCTTCAAAGAAGTGCTGAAACAATATTTTGCAAATTAGATAACTTGCCAGATAGATTTGTGTACACAAACACACATCATCTGCGAAATATCAACAAATGATATCACCAAGAACAAATGGTATCAGTTTTGAATATGGTGTCACCCTACGGCATGCTAAACATGCCTTTGTTTTTCGGGTAAACGACCAACCGCCCCCGGCATGCATTTTGTGTTGGTTGCACAATCCTTGCAACCGCTCTCGCCTGGCTCACCATTTAAACGGAAAAACGGGGCAGACTATCATGGCAATACAAAGGCTGATGTCCGAACTTCAGCAGCATTTTCTGGAGGGCGGTCACACAGATATTTACGCCTCAGAGGAGATCATAGCAGTGCCCACTAAACCTTCATTGAAAATACTTGTCAACGCGGTTTTGTCCATTCGCCTAGCCAGCTATCTTTGCACAAAAACCCAGCATTGCTTTCCACCATGCAAAAACCCCTCTGGGTCCTGCCTCAATCAGCGCTCTGTGCACGGAACCGCAACTACGACTGAGTCAAATGAAATTGTCTCCAAATAATTAACCATCACGTGTGAGAGCGCATGAGCTTTCCAGCCATAATAAGTGGGTCGTTAGTTACCTGTTGCAAAAGAAAAAACTTTGCGTCAGTGCTCCTTTACAGTCCCCCCCTGTCAACGGAGCTATGAGCGCCCAAGAAGAGGGGCTGTTCATGGTGCGCACCTGTCATATCCCCTCTCACAATGTTTTGCAAGGGGGGATGGGGGACGCTAAGGCTTCTTGCCCCCCCCCTGCACACACACAACAAGAAGGGAGGACGGTGGTAAATTAAATGGCTTCTGCAAAAGCTTTAACAACGCTCCAATGCACAAAGGATCCTCTCTTTTTTTCTTACTGTGCCATCTCCATGCCTTCTGATGGCCCTCGGCTAAACTTTGTTTTATGCTTGCCAGTTGCGCGTGAGGCGAGTTTTAGCAAATCTCACTAGCCTCCCAGATCAGTTATTGCAAGCTTCCCCTGAAAAGCAACGACATATGTACAAAATCTATGGTCATTGTCATGAGCAAAAATGTTCGAAATCAGCTCTCTCGGGCAGCGCCCTGTCATCTCTTCCTCAATCTTTGTCTCTATTTTTGGCTGTTTTCACTTCCCAAGCATTTCTCTGGCAAGAATAAAGAAAACTACACAAAAGAGAAAACTCCGAGCAATATAACCAATCGTCCAATCACCAGTAGTCACCACAGCAGCAGAAGGAAGAAAAAAAAAATTTATTTGCAGAGCCCTCCGTAAGAGAAGATACAGGGAAAATGTGACACCAACGGCGCGCCACAACACCGCGTGACGATTGTGCAGGGGTCGACATTTCCCACACGTCATCCACCATCATCATGGCAGTTTCATTCCTCAGCCCAGAGACCATGCACATGTGGATACTCCGACTACCCCACTCCATACGTTGGGGAAACCAAGAGCTTCCATGAAAGAGTGCGGCAGCACAAAAACTACCTGAGTCAATGGAACAGCGAAGGGAGCGCAATGGCAGAACACTGTGAGATGTTTAACCACCATACCAGTCCCAACGACGTGGCATCGAGCTCATTGCTTTTATAGTGTCCCTGCATTCCTTGGGATGCACAAAGAGCGCGAAAGCTTATGTATGAGAAACTTGACTCTGGGAAATGCCCGTGTCGTCAAGCTTCTTGCATGCAGTGTGGACTGAACGAACACAATGACAAGTGAGGGACCACAAAAAGTGCTTCTGCGCTTCTGCTTGAATAAAAAAATTAAAAATACAAAAACGCTGCCTTTGCTATGTCGCGTCTACACGATTGAACTGCAGACGTGTTAGAAAAATATGTAAGCACTATCTCATACAGCGACTTGAAAATTCGAAGATGTCGTTGAAGTTTAAAAGCCCTTAAAACTGCTGAGAGGTAACTGCATTGTTTGACCACATCACAGCTTGAAGAGATTTGTTTTTGCGAATGATAAAGCATTGCATATGGTATGATGCACCCCTTCCTTTTTGAAATCTGGCCACGACAACTTTCAAGGTGCCCTAAATAATGCAGCTGCTGTTAAAGTGGCAGCGAATGACACGACAAAAGCGGATTGTCTGTGTCGTTGCTACATTTTAGCAAAACATGAAAAACTATTGGGAACTTTTGAGCACAAAACAATGCCTTCACCCGTCCTGTGGTTCTTGTGAATACCTTGTTTGGCACTCATAACTTTCCCAATCACCACATTTGTTTCTGGAAAAACAAAAGCAGAATTAAAGGACACAAGTGGTTCAATGAAATAGAGAGAGAAGGGGCGCTCGATGTTCGGGAATCGTGCTACTTTTCATCACTGGAGCTGCATCAATAATGAAGCCGCTGTATTGCACTCATTTTTCATTTATTAGGTACATAACTGCAGATCCAACTCAATGTGAATCATGATGTCAGTAATACTTGGAGTATACTGCGCAGCCTACTTTCATGCCATCATCCAGCCTTGTTCGTTTATTTAAAGCTTTTGTGAATTGCACTGTAGAAACAATAGCCAATATTGAGAATTATTCAGTTTTTCCGGTCATTAGTATCTCAAGTCGCTGTGCGTTCTTCTCTCCCGTGAGAAAAGATCACTTCAGTTTCGTAGCATGCATTAACACTGTTACATCGCCATAAATTACGGGTTTCAGGGAAAGAAACTCCTAATGTCTCGTGAAATTCAAACTTAAATTTTGCAATCATCTTTTTGCGTACGGGATCAGCTGCTTGACAAAATACACTGCAAACGGTGCTTCCAGCGGTTCTGCGCCTTGAAGGTACCATGTATGCTGCATACATTTCAGATTATATTGTGCCAGTTTTTTAGTCATGTTAATAATGCTTTTTAATGTTAATATCTCACCTAATTGATGCGTTTGATTCAGTACTTTTAACTAAGAGTTAATGAATGGTTGTTATCCAGCAAACATATTTTTATTCAAAGACATTAGCGGTGTTTATGAACGACCTTCTCAGGGACTTGCTCCTGGTGTATAGAGAAACAGAAAGTTCTATCAATTCGAAACTAAATTCTTGGGGCTCCGCAAGCCAGAACATCAATGCGCTTGCAAGGCACACCGTAGTGCCGGAGAGTATCTGACCCGCTCCCGACGCACGCGCGCAAAACCTCTCGGGAGACTCTGCGGGCGGCGCCACAGTCGACATTTGCTACAGGGAAAGAGAGGGTAAACGTCACTCCGCTCTCCCAGTGCGGCAGACAACGGAGGAGGGGAGTCATGTCGGGACATGAGAACGACAGAAAAGGTGGCAAAGCCCGCGCAAAGGCAGCGGACTAGCCTCGATTCCCACATCATATAATCCAAAATTTACCAAGAGAACTGTATAGATTTCACTTTATTGTCTGTATAATTCCGTCTTCCCTAGACGCACTCAACATGGCTCAAAATTGTTCACTGTTCTACACAGTATTTTCATTTTCATAAATTGATTATATATATTCCGAGTTCAAACCGCATGTTTATTTTCACCATTTCAAAAAATTTCTTCATTATTTACTAGCGCCAAATCCCGAGAAGAATTCCTAGCGGTGTATAATACCCCAGTTCAATTGAGTTTGTCCCGGTTTTGAGTCACAATCGAGGTCACACAGAGTTCGTGCGATCAGCTTTATATTTGGAAGAATGAAACAAGTCTTTATTGTGAATAAGTTCATGTCACTGTTTCATTCTTGGTGAACAAGCGCCACGAATGCCAAGAACGTCCACCCGAAGCAGATACGAAGCTTTTAGTTTCCATCAATCCTATTGTGGTTGGAGAGTCTGGTGTTAAGCCTGTTTGGAATCTAGCTTGGAATCTAGGAACCCAGCGTTCATAAAATACATGCACAAGAAAACAAATAAGACGACCACACACACTGGGGCTTGTGGTCATCATGCGTTTTTTGAAGGCATGGTTTCTAGATTCCAAGCCATGATGGTCGAAGCACCGCTCAATCAGCATTGCGTGTCCCATGTAGACATTTCAGAAAATTAATTGTGCAAACACACAACACATTTATGCACACACACACCCAGGCATCAAACAGGCACAGCGCTGTATGTGTGTGCGTGAATGTGTCATGTGTTTGCACTCAAATCAATTTTTTTGCAATGATCTACCAACTAGCCCAACAAGAAGTTCTACTCACGTAGACACTCGTGCCAGATTCCACTCTAAGTTTTGTGGTATGAAATTTTACGCTGAAACTGTGGCCTTTTCAATCGGCATCAGTAGTGCGCTTGCCGATCGCAGAGGACACTGTGATGTGAAAAATGTGAAAACATTCGCTGACTTTTGTAGTTTTGGTAAAAGTGGGGACCCCGGTGTGGCCAGAGCCTTCAGTATTGTACGGCGTTGTGCAACTTTACTATGCGGGTTTAGCACATTCACCACGTCGTCGTGATATATATAAAAAAAAAAAACAAATGGTGGCGTGCCAGTGCCGTGCTCGCCCTGAAAATTCCGGCGGCAGTGCCAAGTGGCGGCGGAGGCGCGGCGCGGCACAGCTCTACTTGTAAGCTAAATTAGTGATGTCCTGTTTCAAACACGGTTGTGACAAATCTGCATCTAGAGTTAGTCAAATTAAGTACGAAATAAAAAAGGCCGAAGGAAAGACAGATTACTCGGTTTGATAGTGTGGCGTGGAGCATCGCACGGAGTGCAGGACAAAGCACGCAGTAAATACAAGGCCACATTACAGTGTTTTGTCTGCATTCCTCTTCTGTGCGTTACTTCACACGAACTTAATTTATAGTGATCACCATCTCATCCAATACTGTTGACCTTGCTGAACCTGCCGCCCTACGATGGGAATCATTGCTATTTGATAGAGCATTTTTCGTCTACTAATTGTCACCTTCCTGTCTTTCTTTATGAAAGGCCATGCATGTGTTCCGGTTTCTTAACTAATTTTTTTTTTCTAAATATGCCCTACACAACTAGCTCTACCTCAGTTATGCTGCTGTACATAATATCTGCCATACACATCGAATACAAGCACGTCTACCCTGCCCGCCTCATTCCTAGCCCCCACCCTTCACATCTGAACTGCATTTGTTCTTTGACTCGCTTTCACAGTCATATTTATGAACATTAGTACAAGCTCTACACGTCTGTCATCACTGTTCAAAGGCCACCTCAGATATTACATATCCTCATCAGCCAAAATATGTACACAGTCCTTGCCAAACACCACCGTTGGCACGGTCACTGGCCGGGATTCGCTTTACTACAGTGAGCTCGAAGGTAGCTTAAAATTCTCGTTTAAATGGGAAAGATAAAATTAAATGTTTATTGGACATTTACTCAACACTACCTTCTGAAATTTTTTGAAGCGCTCAAGTTTTTTCAGTCCAGTTATTTAACTCTGAAGTGGCAGGCGAACCAGTTGCAATGCCTTTGCGAAGTGGGCAGAATAAAAAAGGCCAGGGTATTTACTCGTAACTAAAAGTGCAAAATAAACGTAGGTTAACAAAAAAAAGATAAATCCATTTAAATGATGCGCCGATGACACACATTGGCGGTACACCGATTAGTACGTGGCTGGCAGTTGGCAAAAACTGGCAGTTGTGGCCCGCCGACGTCTTGGCGCACACCTCTAGTTGTAGCTTGTTAGTCCGTGTAGCGTATGTAGTACGTTGTTGTGCCTGTTTTGTGGTAACGCTATGGGGTAATGCAGAAACTACACGGTTTCTTTTAAATTAAAAGTGATTGATTATGCACTAAACAACGGCAACAGGGCTGCCAGCAGGCACTTTGGAGTCGACGAGTTTCTTGTTCGCTACTGATAACGGGAGCACAAGCAGCTGAAAGCCACCAAAACACGTTAGGCTTTCTATGTGCCTAAGACTGGGATGGAAAACTTTTTTCAATGGAAGGCAACTGCCGATGATTTTCTGTTTGATGGCCTTGAGCCCAAGGTTGATGGGGACCTGTAATATTCACAGGTTGCAGCGGCGCTTTTAGTTACATCAAGGGTATCCGTGCGAAGACCTTAAGACACAATTTGCTGGTGGCCTTTGTGTCTGCAAATAAACCATCCCTTGTCTTGAACCTGTGGGTTTATTGTTAAAGTAAGTCTTGATTAATATTTCTCAAAGCTTGTAATTAGTTGCTGTTGTGAAAATCCTAATTTATGACCACTTGGTTTTTGTTTGTTTTTTTCACCACTCTGTATGTTTTCTAGGGAAATTCTCGCACCCTTTAACTTTTTTTGTCACTTTTGTTTGAAAAAAGTTCAAGAATTATGCGGGTAAATATGGTAATGTGAATGCAGCTCAGTTGGTACATTACGTACAATAAGGGAAACGGTGCCACATGAGCATGCTCAAGGTAAACAGCTTTGTCACTTGCCTGCAGTGTTGGTGTGGTTGCATCCACCATGGCAATAGCATGAAGCACATAGTGCTCAACATTTTTGCTCAGCTGCTTTGACTGGAGAAACTCCAAAAAGGGCCTGCCTTCAAAACCTGGTTGAGCCAAAATAAATACATCTAAGTAACCACATCCTACAGACACTCCTCCTTCATTTATATGAGCTCCCCTTTTATTTTCTTGGAACAATAGAATTAAGATGCGTCTTAGATGGCCAAATTCCGTCCACAAAATGAAATTTTCGCAGCTACAATTTTGTGAAAAAGGTAACTATTTTTTTGCTCCGTTCTGCAATGTTTCTCACATCAAATTCATAATCTTTGATAATGCATTTCACGGTTCAAGACCAGTCTTTTTATAAAAAGAAACTTTTTTGCCACTTTCCTAGTTAGCTGCATTAATATATTTGCACCTGAGATGGCTAGGGGTGCAATTCTTTTTGCAGCATAGCGTTAAATAAGTATGCAAAGAGACACTGATAGTAAATTTGGCCATCGTGCCTCCATACTCTCTTATTTTTAGTGTTTATTTTTTTTTACGGAGAGCCATGAAAAGACCACAATAATGTCCCCTATACTTTCCCTGGATTCATCATCTGTTAGTTTATTCACAGCGAGTTCTGTCTCTTCTCAATACAAAATGGCAAAAAACAACACTCTGTATATTCAGAGAATTCAGAGACTCTGTATATTCAGAGAATTCAGAGACTCTGTATATTCAGAGAATTCCACACAAACAAAAATGCTGCACTTTGCCTCAAAAAGCACCATGGGAGTAGTCCTTGTCACACTTCTGTCGTTGCTGCCACTTTGCTTGTTGCAAGAACCTGGCAGATGCTGAACCTTTCCACTTGCCATTCATGATCCGACAAGCCTGTCGCGAGCGTTTGATGCTCCCACTCACTCATTGAAGTTGCCGATAAGCTGCAGATCTTATCGTCACTCACTTTCTGCTGTTGCACATGATCGGTGCTCATCAAAAGGTTGTGTCTATCCTTGTGCCGCACTGCCTATCACCGACGTCGTCTGAGAAAGTCGGCGAACAGGTGGAGATGTCGGTGTTTTGACCTTTTCAACCGAAAAATTGTGTTCTGTCGCCGCGTCGTCATGCACTAAGTGCACTTTTGATGTACCTGCCCCATTATTTCGCTTTGCCGAGATTTCTTGCGCTTTTTTTCACAAACTTCTGAGCAGTGCGCAACATTTCATATGGCTTCGTCGTGATCAAAGGTTCGAAACACGGCCGAGAGCGTAGGCTTAACACACTGTCCCGGTGGCGCATCCTGGTGGCTGTGGCACGCTTTGACGAGCTGATTCGGCACCATGCCAGTATACCGTCAGATTTTGCAGACTGTTGAAAATGAGAAATGCTTGTTCTAATTGCTTGCTAGCTCACGCGGGTTAAGAAGCCGACGAAAACAAAGTGATGTGTGAGCGAGATACACTCGCGGCTTCGCGTGCGCTCCGCCGCCGTGTACAGCAGACAGCTCCGGAGGCCTAGTGAGTCGGAAGGGCCAATTTAGTCACGTGTGCTCACCGCTCTAATAGGCTCACACAGTGGAACTTTTTTTTTTACGCGGATTCACGACACGCATACTGAGTGGATGAAAACAAGCGTGGCGGGATATGAAAGAAAAAGGGTGGCTCTTTGGAATGTGACCAAAATGGCTGCTGTGGCAAGCGTAGAACGGCAACAGCGCAGCGCTGACAAAACCCGTTTTTCACGCATCAATGGCCAAAAATTCAGCTCATTAACATCGCATAGACTACTGTCACGGCAAAGATACCAATCTAGGATGCGTGAAAATTGGTGAGATTATGCATGGATATGGTGTGGGGATCTGTGGTGCGCCTACAACCATTTCAAGAGCTATTCCGCCATACGGCTGCTTCCTTTCCTTTCCCGTGCGTTGGCGACGGTGCGTGGCGATAGATGGCGCCACACGCAGGCAAGCGTATGTTCTCAAGGGCTGCGAGAGACAGCGAGGCCGAGTCAATTGTGCGCCGGGAAGGTCTCTCCTCCTTGACCTGGGCCCGGTAAGCACGTATTCTTCCTTAGTCTGCGTCTCCTTTGAGAATTGCCGGATCGTAGCCTACCTGAGTGCCTAGGCATCCCCGACAGGCATGTTTACCTGAGTGTTAGCTTCGGTACCATAGGCTAAGCGGTGCTAGTGCTTGAACTGGTTGCACCACGCCAAGCCACACTTGCCATAGGCCTTCGCGTACAAGGTTTGCCCCAACTCTCGTGACCAAGCCCAGTGGCCATCGTGAAAGGGACCTTTTCCCGAACGGCATGTCAAACCTCAACACTGCCAGCCACGACGTGCTCGTGGTCTCTCCCTTATCCTGAACACCCGCGTGTGGGAGCCTTTGCTCTCCGCGTCCCGGGAGCGGACATTGCACTGTTGTTTGGGGTGCCGCCAAAGGCAATGAAGTGTGTGTTACTGTTAAGATTGAACACTGTTTTGCTGCGCCGTGCTAAACGCTTTGCAGATGAGCACGTGCGAAGCGCCACAAATGAGCAGGTGACAGAGACGCGGCCCTGTGGCTCGCTAAGCCTGAACCCCCGGTGACATTCCGTTAGAATGAGTAGCGAGGTCACCACAAGCAGGAGAACTCGAAAATAACGTTTATAAAAAATTGATTTTTTTTGCAATTTTTGGTCTAAAAGACCCGGTCCCCACTTCACATAAATGTGTTATTTAGTTTGGTCTAACCACGTCTGCAGTCTCCGTGTGTTCCGAGAGCGGCTTTCTCCTTCGGAGACCCCACAATGTACACTGTACTTTTTGTTGTTTTTTACAGCAAAAGCTGTTATGAGATCAGAACTCGGGTCACGCGCAGTTATCCACTGCCGCCGGTGTCCGTAACCACATCGCGTGAAATTGGAAAAAAAAAAAAACTAGCGTTAATGACACAGTGGGGCTCGAACTTGGGTCCGCTGGATGCCAGCCAAGTATTCTACCACTGAGCCATACCAGTGCTTGAGACTTGATGGCAAACTTGCCTTAGGCAGGCTTGATGTCGATCAAGCAATCGCGGTAATAAACCTTATAAAGCGTTTTAAAACAGCGCAAGAACACGGAGTCGTCACACAATGCGAATAGCGTAACGAGTGGGTTGTCCAATGCTCCAACTCATTACAAAAGCTTGTTTTTGTTCAGCTATTAACTGTGACGCATACCTACTTCAGGCATAATTCCTCATCATCGTGAGCCACTGCATGAAAAATTGGCACAAAATTCCTTGCAAGTGTTTAGTAAATACCTTGCTTCTCAGAAGAATGACGAAAAATAGCGTAGCGAATGCCAGCCTACTAACCAAAAAAATGTATTATTAATGCCCTGTTGGGTATAAAGCAAGTGCACTTGCTGTAGTTACCCAATGAAAGTTTTGAAAAGCTCTGAAAGGCCGGTCTTCTAGCTTTCGCTGCGACTGTGCCGCGCCTTCCGCGTAGGCCTGGTGTTTTTTTTTTTTCCCCTGCCCACAGGGCCCAAAAGTCTCAATGTCACCAAAGCTTGAGTGCAGGTGATGTTATGGTGCTCCACTGTGGCGGGGCACTAGTATTTTGTTTCATTCGAGGCAGAGGTTTTGAAACAATGCCAGAACTGGTCACAATTATGCTAGCATTAATCATTCGATACTTTTGATCTTTCCCAATTTGATTTCCGGATAATTAGACACAAAGGTACCAATTAAAGCATGAAATTCTCAACAAGGATTTGCCTGTTGGTGGCCCTAGCCCGCATAAACAAGAATCATCTCACCTCTGTATTCTTCAGGGTGCTGCTCAAATTCTTTGCAGAAGGTGAGGAACTTCATGAGCATGCGTTTCTCAACCACAGTCACATTTTTGCAGCTGAACACGTCGGCACGTGAGCAGGGAACCTGCTGTAGTTTTCCATTGTGCATGGTCAGGATGCGTGTCAGGGCCTTGAATTCAGTGTAGCGGGCAATGTTCGATGAGATGAGCAGCTCTACAAGTGGGCCGCGGCTGAACAGAAGCTGCAAGGCACAATCGACATGAAATCATGAATTATTGTCATATCAAACCGTTTTAAAATTCCATGAAATATATCTTCGGTTTAAAAATTACGTCACACTTCAAACTATCTATATAATTCCTTTCAGCAGATGGCTGTGTTTTTATGCAAGTTATGTCAACTTGTCGACAAAAGCAAGCGAAGTACACAGCTAACTGGATGAATTTAATTTTCTCCATAGCCAGTATGTGGACTCTGTGTTCTGTGTACGACCGTAGTCGACCACTTTCTCGAAGGCCCTATAACGTTTTATTGGTTATTCAACGTGCCACGTTCTACAACCTACAAGAAAAGTGTTACTTTTATTTTCCCGAACCAAAAACTAATTGCACACACATTCATAGCCTAAGATTTCATTTTATGTTAAAATAGAACAGTAATGCCTGTATTTAATTACATGATAATTATAAGTAATTACAAAACTCACTTAAAGCAGCATATTACTTCACTTCTTTTTTTTTCCTATGTAATATTCAGTGCCATGTAATTATGGCATGCAAATTTGACATGTTGGTAGACAGTGCATCATGATCTGTGCCTCAAGGAGATATCTAGAACTTTCTTTGTGGTCTTCTTCTGATGCTAATTAAGCGCTAAGTTCCGAGACAAGGGACGCAAAATCAGGGCAGCAGAAATGGCCATGGTTGATCACCAGTGTTATCAGAGAGCCATCTGTTGCTCTGTTAAAGCAAGAACTGTGCTTAAAGAGACTGCACACGACAGTGAAGGTGGAATTATGTTAAGGTTTTAGTTTTGCAAGTAAATGATGCATTATATTTTGTAAGCTTAATAGATATCATTTTAGGGTGCCATGATTTGTGGAAGTGGAGTGGCGCTGGCATGCAATTGCCATTTTAAATACAGTGAAACTTTACTTCAACGAACTCCAAGAGACCTCATAAAAATTCGGCAGATTCCACGCACCTGGGAATCAACGTTATGCAAAGCATGCAGAGGGGAAGGTGACCGTGTTGAAATTATTTTATTGAGCGACATATAGGTACAATTGTTCCACGCACAGACATAAGTTGAAGAGTTGCAGATGGTTACATAACCAGTTCTTTGCACTTGCACAACGATGCTAACTGGAACATGCGTATTAGAAACACCAGAAGCTGATATGAAGCACTGATGCTCGCGAAGATGCAGGCCCTGGACACTGCTACATAAATCAACTTGAGCGCATGGCAACTAACCACAATTGACGTTAACCCGGCGTGAAGGCTGTATCGAAGGAGTACATATGTAATGTTTATAAAATTTAGTAGGCAACACTGCAACCACTATTGACATTTCACGAAGATTGGCGTCTGAAGATTCTGCTTCATTTCCACGCAGAATGATTGGGTTCGATTCCAGCTGGGACCCTGATATTTATTCTTTGCATTCGTTGGGTCGACGCTACTGATGTAGAGTATTTATTGACGTTTGCCCGTTAAAATTGCCCATGTGTGTTCTCGTCGTTCCTGGGTAGATACTAAGTGTCAATTACCTGTGGCACATATCCGCATATCAGCGGCGCATACCCATCTCTGGGTATATATGTGCCACTGCCTTGCGGGAAGTGTTTGACGAAGTACACGACGGCATTGTGATATTATTCATGTCTTTACCAGCGTGTCCTTTCATCAAATCATCTTACCCTCCCATGCTATTTTTAGTTCACGTCACATTAAGGGGGTGACCACGAGAGCACCCAAACGTAAGCGGCTGGCTAGCTAGCTAGCTAGATGTAACTGTAACTAGCTAGCTAGCTGTAACTAACTGTAACTAGCTAGCTAGCTGTAAATAACTGTAACTAGCTAGCTAGCTAGCACTGTAACACTAGCTGTAACTAACCTCGCATGTCAACACACACTGTAACTAACCTCACACGTCAACAAAGCGTGTATACCCACCATCGGAGCCTCACGCACACTTGCTGCATTCCAGCAATTGCCATGCGCCTCGCGCCCTTTTACTTACGACATGTCCGTACCTAATGTTTCAAACAATTTCTGATCAATATGGTGTGAGACACATTAGATGGTGTCACACAATGAGTTTGTAGAACTGAAATAGGCTCTGCACTAATTTCATTTAACTAACCAAAGTTAAGATTGGGTCTTATGAGGGGAATTTCAAAAACGTCCATGAACTGAATAGTTCACCTGAAACTTTCGTTCAAGCGGTTTTTATTCAATGTGTCTGAACAATAAATATTCATATGAAAGTCAGGGCTTCTGTAAGTCGCAATTTTCCATTCCTTGTCATCTATGAATTATCAACTAGACCAAACATGCACATTGCTAAGATCCCCTTCAGATTTGATGTATCTTGCTTCAGATATAATTACATACTCATTTGGGACACCAACTACTTACGATAAAATGCCGAGCAAGTGCCCCCTCCCTTTTTCGGGAGATCTGAAATAAGCGCCAAATGAGCGCCAGAGACCAGTCCGGGATCGAGCAAGCGCACTCCCCCTGTCATAGTCTCTATAGATGTTCAACGAGACAGGAACAGCAAAGAACAAAAAAAACTACTTATGAAAATGAAACTCAACAAAAACATCTCATTAACAAAAGATATGCTAAAATGCGCTACAATGTAAAGCGTCCAAGGGGTGTTGCCTTGACTTGGCTCCGGCGTCGAGTCGTATGGCTCGTCCCGTCTGCGAAGCTCGTTGCGTCGATGGTCCTGGCCGTACGAGATCCGGTTGCCACAGCGTCGGGTCTCCGCAGTAGCTGTACCGCTTGCCGTTCTTGGTGCGCCATCTACGGAGCATCGCTGCAGACCATCTGGCGCGGGACAACAAGGTTGCGGTCGCTTGGCCGAGCTGGTCGAACTCCTGGCTGCGCCCCGCCACTCACAGAGCGTTGCTGCAAAGGCTGGGGTACGTATTTTCTAGGAGCTGTGCTCGTGGGGTTCCGGCAAATGCTTTGCTGCTTCTACCCCTCGTCGGCGCACGTCTGCGTTCCAAGCAACCGCGCCTCCATCTGTCTTGGCCACGTCCTCCCTCATGCCCTTCTTTTTCTTCCTTGTTTTCCTCTTCTTTCTAATTCCTTTTCTGTTGATATCTCCTTTCTTCTTCCTCTTCTTCTAACACTAGTTGACATGTTCATGACACCCCTCAAATCTCGTGTCAATTATCCTTCACCATAGGGGGATGCTTGCTCAACATTTTATAGTGAGGTGCAATCATAGTGTATTTAATTACTAGTACATGTAGCCTCTTTCCCTGTACTATGAATTCCTAAAGTTAATCCTGAATTTATTATTTTTATATTGTATTCTTGCCTCTCCCATCCACATTGTGCGAGCTGTATCCTGAGGGTCTCACAAATATACTGTAAATCCATTATGCGGAATCCCACAAAATGGCATAGTGGTCAAGAAAGGGGACATTGGCAACCACCTGTATTGTAGCACAAAGCTGCACAGAAAATCTCTTGGTTGAGGAAAAAAAAAAACATCCTGGTCAAGGGTACGAACAGGATACTAGCAGACGACAGAGCAAAGCCAAATTAGTAACTGAGTTGTCACCCCGAAATAACACTCCATATTGAGCTATTACTTAAGCCCATTATTTGCCAACTTAATAGTATTTGCTTTGCACATGTGCCTTGGTGCTTTGACAGCAAAGTGTTTGTGTGGTATTTTCAAAGGCTATTTTCAAATTGTTAGTTCTTTAGACTTATCGGGGTAATATTAAAGTGGAATGCTTGACAAACCATAAGTACAGTACTCAAAGATTGAAATTCAACACGTCATAGCATTAGTAAATGGCTCATGAGCCCGATTGCTCGAGATAAGCTCATTAATTAGCCCCTAATCTGGCAGCCAAAGGTAATGTCAGCTCTTATTTAAGTGCTCTGATAGAAATCACGTCAGCATGACACAAACTGTAAGTGGTAGAAACTTACTTGGCCCCACACTGTCACATTTGAATCTGTGAGCACTTGACTGATTGATATGTGAGATTTAACGTCCCAAAATCACGATATGATTATGAGAGGCACCGCAATGGAAGACTCCGAACATTTTGACCTCCAGGGGTTCTTCAACGTGCACCCAAATCTGAGCACACGGGTCTACAACGTTTTCGCCTCCATCGAAAATGCAGCCGCCGCAGCCGAAATTCGGTCCCTCAACCTGCGGGTCACCGGCAGTGTACCTTAGCCACTAGACCCCTGCGGCGGGGCCTGTGAGCACTTTAGAAGCCATACGAACATCAATCCTCTACTATAGACCCTTTTTATGTTTGCAAACAAACCATCCACGCGTCTTGGTGGTGTTCTCGCAACTCTTTCGGTTAAACGAGTCCCATCCCACTGGCTCCCATCTCAAGCGAGAATTCCTGTGGGAGTGCGCAGCATGTACCGCATCGCTGCTGTTTTCTTCGTAGTGCGCGTTATCATTTGCATCTCAAAACTGTTTGACAACCATGAGAAGTGAATATTTTAGTTTTTAATGCCACATTTTCCAAAGTAGGAGCAGAGATGTCAGCCATAGTTAGTGTTGCACTTGCAAATGTTTGTTCACTGGGATCTGCTACCGGCGATTTAAAGGTTCACGCAGTTGCACTAGTGCACTTTGGGTCTGCTGTCTTGCACAGTATGCCTTTTTTGGCCATGCTAGTACCACTGACGATCCATGTGGCCTTGATTGTGGTATAGAAATGCAGGGTCGAATGATGGCTTACCTGCAAGATGAAACAGGCAGCTATGAGAAAACATGCAGGGATGAGCTTAAGGTTTTGCTGAGAACAGAAAGTTGAAAGAGCTAACAATGAAAGGTGAATCAGCACAGCAAAAAAGAAGTAAAGCAGGCACAGAGTAGAAAACGCAATGCACAGTGTGTGCTGTGTCACCCCCCTCCTTCCCCCCTCCCTTTTTTTTTGAAAACAGTTGTCACGTGACCTACTTTCGATGGTAATGGAGTAGAGCACAGTCGAAGATGCTTATTCGGATTGGGCTCGATCGACAGCCTTGTGGCACCGGCATTGAGCATAACATTATCAGCTGACAAGCGGCAATACTCTACTTTCGCATCGTTACAAATCTTAGATTGTGGTGCATCACTTTCATCCGGTGGAGAAACAATGCACGGGTAAACATGCCTAGAGGTCTGCGCCTCGCTCTTAGCATCAACGGTATTGCGGACAATTCTCTCAGAAGATGACATGGCATAGTTTCTTCTAAAGTTGTGGTAAGTGACAAAACTGCTCACCTTAGATGAAATGAGCTGGACATATGTGGGGGCTCCTTGTAGTGACCCTTTCGCACGGCTGAAATCCAAACATTCCATCTTTCGCTATCGCAGAAAAACTTGCAAACTTGCGAAATGAGATTGGTGCCAAACGGCCGGCTGCATCCAGGCACAACAAAGCATGACCCTCATCGTGTTTGTTAAAGCGTAGGAAGCATTTCTCGATGAGCAGCAAACACGAAACGTCTACCGCCACAAGCGAAACACGCAGCGGGCAAGGCTGCCGGAAGCTTCTTAGGAGCACTTCTTGTTTGTGGCATGCTGGCAACTCTGGCTGTCGGCCTTAGAAAAAAAGGTCTATAGCTCACACCAAAGGCAGAAAAGATGAAAAGTGGAAAAAACGAAAAAAGGGGTCACTGACAATTAAGGCACTCCCTAATGCAAAATTACCAGCACTCCAAGGTTTTAGTGTCTGCTCAGGCAATTTTCTCAGTACCAGGCAAAGCATTCTGCTGCCATGTGTTTTCAGTGTGAAATGAAACCAACTGTATGCTCACAAACTTTCCCGCGTACACTGGCCAAAAAAATCTAAGAAACTTACCTTGGGAGCCAGGTCTAGGTTAAACTTCCGTGAGACATTCAGCAGTTTCTCCATGGACCACAACTCCTTGACCTTGTTGGGCTCCTTCTCTGAAACCTTTTCACTTGCAACCTGCTCTCCATTCAGGCCATCCAGCGTGCTCTCAGTGTGCTGCGTCACACTTCCGTAAGTAGCGTCTACAGAGCTGCTCCTAGCACTTGCAACACTGTGGTAGTCAGAGCTGGCATCCTCACTCTCCACAGGTCCATCACGTTGATTCAATAGGCCGGCACTGTCTTCTGCACTAAAAGGGCATGGACAGCTGGTGGCCAGCTCATCTGTGGTGCTCTCGGCTGAAGCAACATGTGATGGTCCTTCATCAGAGTCCTCAACAATATGCAGCTGCACCAGCGCTGGTCCAGGATCACTTGCGGAGCAGTCCACAAGCTTTTCAGGCCTATGTAAAAACAGTGGTCCTGTTGACATCATCTATGTAAAAACAGTGGTCCTGTTGACATCATCACCACTTCACCATCATCAGCCTATTTAGGTCCACTGCGAGAAGAAGAGCCTTTCCCAATGATTTCCAGTTTACCTTATCTTGTGTGAAATGATTCCATTTTGTCTGTGCCTTAATTTAGCCCTTCTCTAACTCTCTGCCTTCTTCGACTGCGTTTTCCATCCTTAGGTGATCATTGTGTTGCTCACACTGTCCACCTATCGCCTGTCCTATGCATTATGTGGCCTGGCTAAGTCCATTTTTTGTTGCTTGATGTAAGATATATAATTTCTGCTACCCCTGTTTAGTCTCAGACCTATCCTGCCATCCTCTGATGTCCTAATCTTACTTTTACAATTTTCCCTTCCATTGCACACTTCGTGGTCATTAACATTTACTTCAGGTTCTTTGCTATTCTCCATCTTTCACCGCGTAAGATACAACTGAATGTCGTCCCAAGTCACAACCACATAACCAGTGCTCTCCTAAACACTGAACTCTAAAAAACAGTTTTGCAGATGCTTTGGCCTACTGTTACAAAATGCGGCATGACTCATGTTCTCAGGTATGTTGTTTAGTTACTTGCATGCTCAGCTACCTAATTTGAAATATCCCTCTGGATTTTCAGTACATGTTTGCAAAACACTTAAAGACGGAACACGTGCGCTGTGCTTAGGATTCCGGAGTGGTTCAACAAACAACGTAGTTATTGCGAAGTGGGAGCCTTCACCTTTTTAAAAAAACAAGCACCAATCACCATCATTTATAGCATTTAAATGCCAAACTTCAAGGCTACAAAAAACACTGCAGAAACCTTCTTCTATATGCAAAAACACTCAACAGTTCATGAAGGACGCAGGAAACACTTAAAATATATTGTAATTGACTTTTGAACAGTGCTGAATTGTAGGTGGGCCAGTTGGTACATATTTTAGCGTAAAACATTATTCAAGAATAGAACAATCAAATAAGGGCATACACAACTCAGTGCTGGCGCTGAATTTTCATTATCAATTGACAAGTAACAAATAAGAATATACGTGATGTCATAGAAAAAGCAAGGCGACCCGTCTATAGCAACAGTTTTATCGCAGGCACAATCACCAGAGAAATGAATTAATCCTGTGTAACGGCAACATAGGGACCACTGAAGCAATCTTTCTTTTGGAAATTTCAAAATATCTGATCCTGTCCAGATACCAACCTATCCTTTGGCACTGATCTAATGTAGGATGGCAGGCGGACTCAATGACATGCATGGCTGATGTGCTCCCGGAAGAAGAACATCCTAGGCCCTGTTACCAAGTATTTTGGGGCCAAAGAAACAAGAACAATGCCCAATCACTCGGCTATCTTTTCAAACTTGTGGTTCTACACCATGGATGTAGATGAGCACTGCAATTCTCTTGTTCTCCCTTCATAGCTCTCATGCGGGTGGTGTCTTCAAGACTGTCTTAAAGCTTGCAGCCTATGCTGCGGGAAAATAATGCTGGAAAACCATTCAAATGCAGACAGCTTGTTTGATCAAGGCTTTTTTGAAACACAGGATCTAGACAACAGTTTTTGCTGGCAGATGTGGCCACTGTATCCTTGGCAAGTTTAGATGAGCATATATGAATGACACGAGACCTTTTTTGTGGTCACATGACATAGGTGCTCAGCACCAAAGCACACATTTAGATACAGAAACTGGATTTTATTATTTGAGCAGACCTCGTTTGCTGAGATAAAGTTGCTTATGTTTTCTGCAAATACTCGCAAAAGTCATCGCTATTTTGCCATTTTTAGCACGCCTTGTATGTGATCATTAATGAAAAATAACACAGGACTTGTTTCTGAGCTAGTTGTTCTATAGCTTGAAAAAAATATACTTAAACCTCATTATAGCAATGAAGTATCTTGCATGAAAATAACATTATAACATTTCTATTGCAAGGCCAATATTCATTTGCTTCGTTATAACAAATATTTCGTTATATACAGGTTCATTATATGGAGGTTTCATTAAGTGTAGGTATCACACAACAAAAAAAGATGTCGAACTTGGTGTCTCGACTTTGTCCCATATCTATTTTCCTTGAACACATTTTCCCCTGGATGCAGACTTCTGCTATGGCCACTAAGGTCACTCAGCAGAGATCACACTTGCTGCACATGTTGCAGATTGCCGTCCTACATTCGATCAGCGATCAAGTGATGGGGCGTGAACTACGGGAAGCTTTTCTCAAAAGAAATAAAAATTGTGTCAGTGGTCCTGCCTTTATCCTTACACGGAAGGAACGCAGTTTTCTCAGGTGCTACATGGAATCGCAATTGTGCTAGTCGTGGATTCGTAAGTGCCACCTTGCTGTTTCTGTTGGGACAGATTTATATTAAAAAAAATTAAAGCATTAACTTCAACACAGACGTCAGACAAGGTAGGGTGCCAACTGCCAACAGAGAGCTTTTATTGAGCAAAACAAACATAAAGCTTATGATAACAGAGGGGTGGGGTTAGCGAGGAATATTGTTGCATGTGGTACTGTCGATAGGGGCAGATGTACTGGATTAAGATTGCTGTAGGAAGCTGCATTTGAATTCAGAAAGGATCAGTGATGAGACACTGGCACACATCGTGCCTTCACATTGTTCTAAATGTCTCAAAAGTGTCTCAAGCGAGAACATCTTACTTGGTGACTTGAAGCAGAGGTACACACCTGCATTTGGCACAGTGAATTACCACACTGCTGCTGTGCTTTTATCATCTGTCCCTTGAACAACTGCAACTATCTTCCTTTCAAACAACACTCCTCCTTTATCGTAAGCTATATACTGCACATACAATCAAACAGGGTACGTACAGGTTTCATAAGAAAGAAAGTAATATTACCCAGGTCTTGTTGCAGGTTTCTTAAGGACTTAAAGTACCCTTAAGATGTGAATTTTTCGCTCTAAAATTTTAAAAATGGCCAATTTCTATGCCATTCCAATAAATAAAGGAACATCCTAATTATAAAAAAAACGTATGATCTTGATAACTTCTCAAGGTCACCAGAATGAATGTTCACAAAAGTGATTGATATTTTCCCACTATAGGTTTGAAGTTCACGAACTATATTCAGGGTGTTCATTATATAGTATTTTTCAACTTTATAAAGATAAGTAAATGTATATCACAATGATGTTAATAATTAGCCTGGATCACCTTTGCAAGTCTCAAACAGTATGAAAAAAGCTCACAACACATAATGACCTCGTACAATAGCGGTTAAGATTTCTCCAGTATAAGCTTGGTGATGTTCACCAAACATATCCAGAACTTTCAGCATAATGCTATTTTACTTACCCAAAGGTAAACAAATATAAAGAATTATGCACTTGACATCATCTATGGGGAGCGCTACTGACGAGGTCGCCATACTGCAGGTGCGCGGACCTGCAGAATGACCACTTCCTCGATTTCATATTCTACAAGCAAGAAACTTTCAACACATGACTGTGCGTTTTTTTAATGTAAGGAAAACCTAGAAAGCCATGGAGGGAGTGCAAAGCACTGTGCTTGGGAGACTGGAAAGCTAGGCGAGTACAGATTTTGCCTTCGGTGTCTGGCTGTGTCAGACCTGGTGGCACCGCGAAAATATAGCATGAATGTTGCCGAGTGAGAACCTTGGTTGGCACAGTTAGCGCTCCTTTTCAGCAGGCACTGGACTTCATTTATTTGCAATGCGCTCATGCTGCTCAAACTGAGCGGTTACCAGGCATAGATGTGGTGCTGGCGTCTTGCACAACTAATGAGAGGACATTTTGATATCATAAGCGTCCTTCTTTGCGCAGATTCGCTTGTCTAATTGCATTGAATGCTTCGCCCTCATTGTGTTTTTTTTTTTTACTTCGGTGTAGCTTTGCAAAATAGAACCATGCAGGCTCGTGCCGCATTACTGCTTTTGGAATGGGGAGTTTGTCATGTAATGTGGTCTACCACATTAGTGAGGCCGCAATATCCATGTGAGCTGGCACTGCTAAAAAAATTCAAGGATTTTCAAGGAGGGGGAAAAATTACAGGACTTTCAAGGGCCTTGAAAATACATTTTTCAAATTCAAGGGTTTACAAGGATTCCAAGGACCTGACTGCACCCTGATCAAAGCTTTGCAGGCAGTCAGCACCAATCCTAGTGTGATGTTGCCTTGTCCATGTTTAAATTAACACTGCATTTATAAGGAAGGAGATGGATTACATGTCCATTCCTATTTATTTAGTAAAGTGATAATCAAAATTGAGCCGTCAGTCAGCACTGTGTCTTGTGCTCTCATCCCCCTTTGCATGCCCAGTACCCAAACGCTTGTTCTTTCTACTGAGACCCATCATTAGAGTGATGTGCAAAAAGCGGTCACACAAAGCACCACCACACCGCCAAAGGCTAAAGAGGCTGTGTCACTGGCTGTGAACTCACACAGGGTAGTTTTCCTTCCCAGCATACTTTTAACTAGCCCAGCTGTCACAACAAACTCTGAAAATAACACTGAGCATGCTCGAGTGTGAAAGGCATCCAGGCAGTTGCTTGCACGTGAGTGCAAGCTCAGGATATGCATCACTGTGCGCGCCACAGCTTCGTGGTCACATGTGGGCCAAGGAAGTGATGCCACTGTGCAGCTCAAAAGTCACTTCCAACGAAAACTGGTGCGACATTACCTAGAATATATGACTCTCTGAAAGCGTATCATGCTTCCAGGAGAAATAAACTTTTGAGACAAAGAATATGCGATCTTATCTGCCTGCCACCCCTGGTGCACTTTGGTTTTTTTTTTTTTTTTTTTTTTTGAAAAGCCGGTATTATTCAGCTCCTCTTTCTGCACTGAAACACCTCGACCCAGCAATGTCACCATCTGATTATTTCTGAAGCCAACATATTTCACATAACGAAATATGTTAGGAGCTGTCACCAATCTTGAAACCCATTTATATGGCGATCACAACACTGTATGTAAACATGCAATCATGACTTACACATTCACTATCTCTTTTGCATTGACAACTGAAGAGTGGTTCTGAGCGGTCAGTAATAAACGTTCACCAGGTCCCAGTGGATAGTCCTCCAGTGATACAGGTGGCACTGGTTCATTCTGCGAATACGACCATCTGTGAATGTCGCCCCAGGAACAGAGAACACCCAGGCAGAGCCACCTCACCTGTATCCATTCCCGCAAGCTGCTCAAGTTGTAGCTCGCCCAAAGGCCACCATAATGACTTTCTCTGCAAGTGAAAACAGATCTACTTGAAAGCTACGTTGCTGGCTGTTCGGCAAACTGAACAAGGTTGTTCCTTTCAACAAAACTTCGTACACAGAAAGACAGTGCATAGTGCCCCTTGGAAGAGATTACCGTAAAATGCCATGCAAGCACCCCCCAACTCCCTACGGTGAAGGATAATTCGACCAGATTTAAGCGCTTGCTCGGTCCGAAATCAGTTATTGACGCTTATTTCAGATCTCCCCCCCCCCCTCGAAAAAAAAGAAAGGGGGCGTTTGCTGGGCACTTGCTGGTCATTTTATGGTAGTCACTTTTTTCAGACCTCCCAGAAAAAAGAGAAGAGGGGGGCTTCCTTGCCAGTTTACGGTAGGTGCAAGTCTGAGTATGGATGAATGTCAAGGGGTGTTAGCAGATGTAGTATGACCATTACAGTGATGGAAGGGACATTTTGCTTTTCAGGGCAGATTCTAGAGCAGAAAAAATGATGCTTTGGAGCAGGCTTAAGTGTCTTCGGAGCAGAAAAAAAATGCTATAGCTTAGTGTTGCTATGGGTGTTTTCGGAGCAGATGCATGTTCCTAATGACTCCTGCAGTGTAAAACATCACTTAAACAACAAAAAATGTTTATATTTATTATTAGACACACCATATTCTAATATTCAGCTACTATACTAGCCATATAGTAGTATCATTGGTGTAAATAATGGGGGGGGGGGGGGGGGGGGGTCAAGGGAGTCCGGACTTTCCTTATGTTTAGGGGAAGACAGCCCTTACAAGTACCCCCCTAGAGATTTAGCTTTAACACGTTATATAATTGAGTAAACAGTTCAGTATAGCACAATTAACTTTTTAAAAGGCTTCTTATCTGTTACTGCATACCTGTGTTAAAAGCCCCTCAGCTGTGTGAATTTTGTAAATCTCAAAAAGGTAAAAAAAAAGAGACTGAATAGAACAATGCAATTACTTGATCTCGGACCCCGTGCTCGTTTTTTGTAAATTCTATTTGAAAGCATGGTTTAATTCTTGCATAAATAACAATAAAATCAATATTAAAAATACGAATTGGTCACCATGGTCTGATATGTGTCACCCCTTGTGATTTTTCTGGATTTACGTGACTGAGTAGCGTGCTGGGACTATAGTGTGAACACCTTGTTTTTGGTTTCGCTAAGGCTCACGGGGTGGTCCTATGGTTCAACTTCATTCTTTTTAGTTTGCCAATATCCTTTCCGAGCAGGTTTGGAGCAGCATTTCTCTTTCGGAGCAGTTTGGAGCAATTGGAGCAGCACTTCCATCACTGCCATTATATTGTACAGGCAACTATGAACAAGGGTCAGTACTCACGCTCATAAGTAATTTTTTTGTGCTAGGAATTCTACGTGTGTTTTTATACTTTTGTGTACGTAGCACTGTTATTCCTGTGCTACAGAAACCTGTTTGTTTATTGAAGCCTGCATTTATTGCAACCTATCATCATCATCATCAGCCTGACTACGTCTACTGCAGGACAAAGGCCTCTCCCATGTTCTGCCACTCAACTCGGTACTGTGCTTGCCATTTTATACCCGCAAACTTCTTAATCTCATTTGCCACATAAATTTCTGTCATCCCTAACCCATTTGCCTTCTCTGGGAATCCAGTCAGTTACCCTTAATGACCAGCAGTTATCCTGCCTACGTGTTACATGCCCGGCCCATGTACATTTCTACTTCTTCATTTCAACTACGATATCCTTAACCCCGGTTTGTTCCCTGACTCACTCTGCTCTCTAGTCTTTTAAGGTTACACCTATCATTTTATTTTCCATCGCTCGCTGCATCGTCTTCAATTTAAGCTGAATCCTCTTTGTAAGTCTCCAGGTCATGACGGCAATCTAGCCTGTCATGATTTGAGAGTGCTTGCCAAATGTGTTTCACCCCATTCTTATTCTTCTAGCTACTTCAATCTCGTGGTTCAACTCTGCGGTTATTACCTGTCCTAAGTAGACGTAGTCTTTTACAACTTCAAGTGCGCTATTACTCATCTCGAAGCGCTGTTCTCTTCGGATGTTGTTATAACCTTCCTGTAATCTATATATCACCCTAATAATCATGATCCTATAAGACTGTAGTATTAAGAAATAAATAAATAAATATTCTGCATATCTCATAGGTGTGCCCACACCGATCAGATTTGGGACGGGGGCGCTTGCTTGGTCACTGGCACTTATTTCAGAGCTGAAAAAAAGAGAGGTGCACTTGCTCGGGCGGGGGCGCTTGCTCCGCATTTTACAGTAAGACTTTTCAAGTAGAGTGTATCCCAGCTTTGTCTGTCCTAGGCTTATCTTTCGCAAAAGGTTGTTCCTGCCTACCCTCATTTTGGAACAGCGTCACGAAGTTGCTAGCTCAAATTGTAGTAATGTTAAAACATCACTCAATGAAATCGAATTTTATCAAGTTTCTGATCTAATAAGGAATTTTTACTACCTGGCAGGTTATAAATGTTTTCATCGATAAGGGCTCAATGTTATCAACACAAATTAACAAATTAACTTTGCCACCAAAGCTAACTTAATGAAGTTTTTCTTGAAGTATTAGTAAGAAAGCAGTGATTTCATTCTAACTTTGGCATAAACAGGTTTTTCAACAAGTGTCTGCTCTAACACTAAAGGATAAAATATACTTTGTCACGGCTCACGCTTTATTTAGACAAGACTGCATACCATGCCCATGCATAGAACAATGGCCTCAGCAGCGAGTAGAATCCTTAAGAATTGTGCTTTCCTGAGCTTGTTATTTGCGCAAAGCGAGGAGGGTTTTTTTCTCTCGAACAATTTTTCTCAGCAATGAAGGAAGGCTACAAGGGCAGAGCTACTGCAAAGCAATCCTGTTCTGCATGCATTTCAAATTTAGTTTGAGTTTTTTAACTTTCCACGTCTCTCCTGCGACGGAGTTTCCATTATTTGAGCGGCTGTGCGGATGTAATAATATTGCATACCACTTGTTCTGTTTGCTTAGACAACCGGTGTAACGAAGACAATTAAAACAAAACACTGACCATGAATAAAGCAAAAAGTGAGGCATTTCGGCTCTTCTCCTTTGCTTTTATCGTAGTCAGCACCTTGGTTTATTGTCTTCATGTCTGTTTCTGAACAGACAGGTTTCGTGCAACTATTGATTTTATGGAGTAGTGGTGTTGTAAATGGATGGACAACACTTTGAAGCCTGCAGATTGGCGGCCGGGTGACCCGAATGGTCGCGGTAAGGTTTAGCCTTTTCGCCGCTTCCAGGGCCTGCGGGATGGCCCTACTTTGGCCTTCAAATTCTGAGCTAGCCAAAGCATCGAGCCAACGCGCCTCAAGGAAATCCGGGTTTTGGTGATAAAAAAAGCTATGTAATGTGTAATGATTTCCAAAGGATGTGTTTTATGTCTGCGTATGCCGTGAAACATTACTCATCAAAGCATTTTCTATCTTCAACTCTGACGAAGTCATAGATGCAACAGATGCTGTGAACAGGGGCAGGATAGTACAATAATGATTGGTGTTAGTGCACTGGAGTTCACTGTTTACAGACCACACTAGTACTGTTCCACTATTTGCTAGCACTGACTCTCTGTGTCAACTTGTTTTAATTGTAATAAGCAAAAAATAAATATGCAGTCTGTAAATATAAACCCAAGTTGTGATGCGCCTAAACAACAGCAAACTACGTACAGAAATTCGTATTGTTCATTTGCACAGTATCAAGGCTTGTCTATCAGGTAAAAGGTCAGTTTTTCTATTGAGTTATGACCAAAATTTGAAAATACAAAACCTATTCAAATTACGAAAAAATGTGTTAGATTCTGTCACTACAGATATTTTTTCTACTTCCACCAGTGTCATAATACATTTCGTCCAGTTGTCAGACTCTTTAAACAATTCATATAGCGTAAAGAAAAGCAGTGCGAAAAAAGATGGCAAGAAAGTGAACACAAGTGCTTTTGTGTCTTCTTTCTTGCACTACTATTACGGTATTATGAATTAGTACCAACTAACTCGCCTCTCAGTTTTGCATCTCTTCAAACAAAGCAAATTATAAGCTGTTTCCACTATACGCTTTGTGCACTGGTATGGTGGCGCCACCACTTGGCTCGCCTGGTCACTAGTAAGGAAAAAGGCATTTGCACCTCTTCTATAGGATCCCACGTATTTTGAATCAAACTTGGGCTTCTATTGCTCAACTACCAACTAGTGCAATCTCTCAACAGCACATCACACCAACGATGCAACACTTTTTCGTACTTCCACTGCTCTTCCACAGCCTCAGTTTTTTAAATTTATTTTTATCGCTGTGGGAGCACACACTGTGCAGACGGCAGTGCACTCAAGACTAGCTGTCCTTGTACCTTTCTTATATGGACGTTGCAACATTCAAATTGTGTTTTACGCACCAGAGGAGAACCTAGCATACAATGGAAATTTCTTGAACTACTGCACCTCGCACGATTGGTTTCCAACAAGTACTTTATTCATCTTTTCAGTAAACAAAACTGTTATTAAATGAAACATTATTTCCTGGTCCCTTCATGTTCCGTTTAATGACAGTCTACTGTTCATATATATACTTCCTGTGTGCACACTTCCTATATAAATTGGACTAACACTATGCTTCCATGCTTGATTTAAGATGCGTGTGATAGAGGATTGTAGCTGCAATGGCAAAAGTAATTAGATTATGAGAAATATGCTATTTTAATGCAGTTTCAAGTTTCTGATTATTTTTATATCATTCGTGAAATAAAAAAAATGCCAAGTGAACGTTGTTTGCTCAATTGCTCTAGTACTTTCACACATTATTATGCAGCTGTCCGAAACCTGTTAGAACATTAAAAAAGTTAACTTTTGGTTCTCTTGACAATTGTATAGTTGAGTGCTACAAGTCTTGAGCGAAGAATAAAGTGTGTTTTTAGAACATTTCCCAAGAAAACATATGGCTATTGTTGATGCACTGCTTAGGATTTTCAATAAAACAAAAAGACTGTGTCCTGCAACAAATTTTATTTCATCTGTGTAACAATGTTGGAGGCATGAGTGTAAAAACAGTACGCAGTGCATCAAGCACAAGCGTAGCAATAAAACACAGGTGTGCCATTCCCAAAGAAATAAAACAAAACAATCGATGTAGCAAACAGCATGGCTGTCTAGTTAGAACAGCATCAACAGTGCGAATATAAAACCAGAACAAAAAAATGAACTCAAAAACAGCTAGCAGTGGACACTTCATGCAAGACTTTTATGAGCCGCCCCCATCTTTTTTACGCCGCCGTTTAAGATGAGTAGTGCCACATGTACAGTCTGTTTCACACTTGGAGGAAATCTTGGAGAACATGAATTCGCGGTGCGGCCATCACTGCAGTCACACATGGGTAGCCGCTCATGCATGCTCAGACACTGAAGGGGCATCATAGTGTTGAACCACATTGGCTGCTACAGAGGCACGCAACTGCAGCGCTCACCTCACCGCATGCCATGCGCTCCGATACCTCCCCCAAGTATAGAACAGACTGCACAATTGTTAGCACGTTAACACACATGGCTAGAACGACAGAGTGTCATGCTTGGAACAGCACAAGCAACATCTGCAGTTCCAAATAGACCACAGCCGAGCATGAGCAGCGGCAATAAGGTGCATGGCTTGCAGCGTCCTTCCTTTTTTTTAATGCCGTGGCCCCGATAACTGCTTGGGCCGTCAGAAGTGCAGCCAACTGTAGAGCATCATTAAAGAATAATAATAATACCAATAAAGAAGTAATATCATACTGCGGAGAACAATTTACTTTTTTTTCACTCAATCAGAGCGCTTTAAATGGGCAAAGCAGTTTGTTGCATCTGTAATGATAAACGAGGATAAAAAATGCAAGCGAGGTGTGCCATTCTTGTCGCCCATGCTCAGGTGTGGTGTGCTTATGACTGCAGATGTCACTCGTGCAGTTCCGAATGTGATGCTCCAACTATTCTAGAAATGAGAATTGACCATCAAACAGCTCAAAGCAGTAGCGCACGAGGCAGGTTACGACGAGCATCTGTTCACAATTTGGTAGAAAAAAATTGTCAGCAACACAAACTGGACATCCTGTGCTATAGAGCACTTGTACTCTACGTATTATGGGAGTGGGTGGTTGAAATCTCATTTGGCTGGACCATAGAGAGCTTACATCGACTTGCTAACGGTCCTTACAGTCGGCTCTACTGGCTCAATGCATTTATTCAAATTCGTCAAAAACGTTTCAGGGTCCCTCCAATGGCAATAGACGTCTCACTGCAAAAGGTCGGAATGAAAAGATGCTACATCTTCTCTAAGGGCGCAGTGTGTGAAAAACGAATCACTGTTCAGCTAAAAAATTGTTGCAGAAAGATTGTGATGTAATCCTGAAAGAATGAAGGATCGAGCGCAGACATGCACAAGAAATGACAACCCTGCGGGCTGCATGTGCTTCGTGTGCAAACAATAAAGAAATGCTAGTAGTAGAAGAACGGAAGGCATACTTATCTAAGTGTAGAACCCTCTGTCCGATTCTCGACACGGCGGCAGCTACAATGGATTCCGGCATACCTGCAATGAATCGCAGTGCAAGTGGGTGTAAATAAAATACCTAGATCGTCACACTTCAAGAGCGTTCATTGCAAATATGTTCGCTTTCTCGGGGACTATCATACAGGCGTGTTTTTTTTTTTTTTTTCTTAACCTTTGTCCTGCTATCCTTGAGAATTTCTAATGAATGACGGCAACAACCATGAGTTTTTCGTGTCTGACGTCTAATTGAGATCGCCTACCAAAGCTGCCAGCGTATCGTTACTGCGCGTTTCAAGCGCTGTCTTAGCATGAAATAGCAACCGATCGCTCGCTCGCCGGTAATAGTCAAGCATGCTTCGAGACCATCAAAAAAAAAAAAAAAGAGCAAGAGAACGCACGCACCCGTTCCCACAACGATCACGTCGTGGTCTGCGGGAAGGTCGTCCATGACCACCGTCGCCTACGAGTTTCGTTCACAATTCGAGAACTGCGTCAGACCATGAAGGAAGGCAAAACTGCGTCAGACTGCGTCACAGAACACGGCGTTCTCTGACTGCTGGATGGATTCATATGACCACAGAACACCTACGGCTGTACCACTGGTAGGTGTTCTGTGGTTGTACCACAAAACACCTATATCATATTAGAAAACTACTGTAGTAATCTAGGAATATACTGTAGCTATTATAGTTAACTAGAACAGAAGTCTTCTAGTTCACTATAGTAGCTATATACTCCCTTTTAGAAAATGGAAACTGTGCTTTTGACTAACGCCTCCTAGATTTCCTGTGCCTGCCGGATTATCGGCGGTCACTTGGGAAGCGGCGGTCGTCGGAACTACAGTGGTGGCGCTACTCATGTAGGAGTGTCTTCAAATAGGTTTTTACGTTTTTGAAACATATATGCAACATAATTAACGTAAAAAATTATAAAGGCGCAAACGTAATTAAAATAACCCTAAGTGGGTGACGCCGTCATTCAACAAGCAATATTTCAATACAAGGCATTTTCTGAAATTAGTAGCAAATGCCAAAACTGCCAATCTTAAAAGCCAAGTACAAAGACCCTTATTCCTACGTAGGCAACGCCGCTATAGATGACCGGCCTTTTTTGTTCATCTGGCAGGCACAGGAAATCTAGGAGACGTTGCTTTGACCAACGCCTCCTTTAGGAAGATGCCTGCCGCATGAGCAGAAAAACAGCTGCCGCACTCTTTTCCTCTTTTGTTTTAAAATGTTCTCGGTCGCTAGCGTCACCTGTGGCAGACGGTGCAACAACGCAACACTTTACATAGCCTCAAAAACAGTGATGCACAGTTGCAGGTCTCGAACAACTCTCGACTGACGCGCCTCTATGGGCTGTAGATGAAAAACGCTTAGCTGGTACCGCTCGTCGCCGTGATGATGGATGAATGGATGGATAAATAGATATGGCTGAACCCTTTAGATTGGGCGGTGGCTAGCGCCACCAAGCCGTAATACTTAATAAATCAAAAACTATATTTTTTTTTTCCTTAAAAAGTGAGTTTGAGGATTCGTACTTTGCAGTGAAGAGTTTAATTTTCACTTGTGCCTTGACTTTAGCCACCAATCACATAACCTCCTTCTAGTTAAGTCTACCCGCTTAAAGTCTATTTTGCCCTCCCGGTCCCTAAACCCCTGCCGCATATTATAGCGGCATACCCCTGCCGCATATTATAGCGGCAGAGGTATTGATGATATAAATGATATTGTCGGTCGCGAGTGCCACCGCACGGAGCTTGTTTAAAACGGAAGGCAGGCCAACTCCGCTGGGAGCGCGAGCCATTTCTCAGGCATCTATCTAGAGGAGGCGTTGCTTTGACAATGCAACGAAAAATAAGAATAGCGGTGGCGTTGTGAACTAACTTATCTGACCTAGAGAAGGCGCTAGTAAGCCTATCATCATCATTGCGTTAGGGCATTATGACGGTTGGTAGCATAGAGTTGTTGGTAGGTGTTAGGTGTTCTGTGGTTGACATGGCAGTGAATGCACACATGTTGCTGTGAATGTTCTGTTCATAGCCGACTTTGGTCCTGTAGTGTGCCTTCTCTGGTGGAAATGTGCTCAGCGAAACTCGTCTCATAATGGTACGATGGCCGCGCGTTCAACGGCGTAGCTTTGAAGATTTCCGTCGCATTCGTAATGTCCGTCGGGAACCTTCAGATCCAGAATATGGTATTGTTATAGACAGATGTTCAGATGTTTTCTACGAAAGCACAAAGTGCTCGAGTGACATCGAAACTGCTCTGCAGTCAAGTCGAAACACTAGAAACTGCGCGGAGCGGTTTGTGCGTCATCTCTGTATAATTGTATTCGCCGACAGCCAGCCAGCTCACTTGGTGTTGTCGTTACGGCATCGTGGTATTTGTGCGCCGATTTGTGAACAAGTGTTGTTTCGCAGGACCGGATAAGAGGCTTGTCGACTAGCGTCCGCAACTCGCCGCTGCCTTCGCCGACACCCAACCACCTCGAGAAACGCAGCGCCAAGGACAAGGGATCCAAGTTCCTGAGGCGACTGATTCATGTGCGACACATGGACTTTCAGTTTGCCATGTGGCAAATGCTCTACCTCTTCGTTTCACCGCAGAAAGTGTGAGATTCTTGATTTTGTTGGACTTATCGTGGCTTTACTGAATAACCATGTTACACGCTGCTTAAGGCCACTCGACGTAGACCTGCTCAATGGTAGCCTTACATTGTGCCCCACAAACAACGAAGTGAACGAATACGATCACCCCAAAAATATAATTGAGCTTTATAGACGTTCGCTCGTAAATGAGTTCTTTTTACAGCGAAGGCTGTTACGAGATCAGAACACGGGTCACGTGCGGCGCTGTAGTTGCCCGCCACCTTCGGTGTCCCTAACCAGTGTCACAAGATATAAGAAAAAAAGAAAAAAAAAACGCCAGACAGTCGCAGCGAAAGGTGGAAGAGCGGCCTTTCAGAGCCTTTTGTAAACACTTGTTTTCTAAACCCACTACGCCATAAATAATCATAATTTTTCTGTAGTAGGCCAGTGTTCGCTATGCTATCCTTCGTCATTTTTCTGAGAAGCACGGTATCCAGTTAACACTTGCAAGAAATTTTGTGCTAATTGTTCTTGCAGTGGCTAACAACAACGAGGAATTATGCCTGACGTTGGTATGCGGCACATTGAATAGGTGATCAAGAACAAGATTTTGTAATGGATTGGAGCATTGGACGACACAATCGTTACGCTATTCGCATTTTGTGATGCCTGGTTGTTCCTTTGCAGGTCTAAAATGCTATTTTACTCATATTAACGTGGTTCCTTTCCTGATATCAAGCCTGCCTAAGGCGAGATTGCGAACAAGACCCAAGCACCAGTGTGGCTCAGTGGTAGAATACTGGGTTGGCACGCAGCGTACCCTGGTTCGAGCCCCACTGTGTCCTTGGGGTTTTTCACTTACTGAGTCTTTCTGTTTTAAATGCAGAGCATTTCTTAGTCGCACCATGTCACCTGTCATCGGCGTCCACACCCTCACTGCGCGTACTCGGCTCCCCTTCCTCTCTCCCTTGTCATCCCCTCTCTCTCCCCCTCTTTCGCTTGACTTCACGCTTTGCTTGACTTGAGTAGATGTGATGGAAGCAACAGTACCTTCAACCAGTACTGGGGCACAACCCTACATCATTGTCCCACCATTCGTTCAAGGCAACATTACCTCACCGTCTTCAGCCTCAACAACAGCAAGCAACGCAGAAGACTAGGCTGCGAAGAGACAAGCATACGACGCTGAACGCTAGCATTTGAAGTGAGCTGCGGATGCTTCACTTGTGGAACGAGAAGCAGCTGCGAAACGGCAATGCCGAGCTGCGGATTCCAAACTTCATGCACGAGAAGCAGCTGCGAAACGGCAATGCGGAGTTGTGAATTCCGAACTTCATGCACGAGAAAAAGCGGCGAAACGTGAGCAGCGAGCTTTAAGACCAGAGGTACGTTAGCGAGAAGCGGTGTGCAATCGTTGTCAACGAGAGACGGCTCCGGAAGCTGCTCGTGAACACGAGCGCGCTGCGAAAAGGGCGGGGTGAGCCAAGCAGTTTGTGTAGCGGGCCGCTCGTTTCAAACGCGACTTCGGAGACCACAGCTTCGGACTCGGCTGTAAGGTGTGCGACCAACTGTGGTTTGACAACAACCTCACTCTGCGATGCATTTACTCGAGTTCCCCTTGTGGGAAGGTACGGGTGGCTTTTTTTCTTTTTTCATTTGATAGTGGTTACGGACACTGGCGACAGCGGACAGCTATGGGGACGGCGTGTGGGACCCAAGTTGGGATCTCACAACACAGGGGTGCAATAGCTGCGCCAATTTGACACAATTACTCATTTGTGTGCCAGGCTGCGCCAAAATGTCCGACCAGCCTCAAAATTTTCTCACCTGCCCTAATTTGAGCAAGGAATGGAGGCCCCTTTGGCCACCTGTAGTTTGTGTCATCATTCACTCCAAGCGGGCAGACCCTAACTCTGAACTGCGGTGTAAGATAGTTGTTCATTAGGCCAAGACACTCATGAAGTGCGATTGACCAGACGAAGTAACAAGGCCGCACGCCCATCTGTTCGCTGACCGCAGCGGATATCTACAGGCGGGATGGCGCAACTTCAAAAGACAAATATGTGTTGCTGTAGCCGGCAACACTTCGCGGGAGATATGAATTTTCTAGTCGGCAAACACAGCCATAACATGTTGGGAACCGTTAGGAACTAAAGCTTTAAGCGTACAAACTCGGAAGTATGTAGAATTTGAGGTATTGTATGACATTTCTGCAGCTGTAAAAAATCTAACAAAGCTGTGAGCCAGATTTTTTTTTCCAGTTTTATGAATCTCATGGTCATCATCTTGGGAGATCCACATTTGAATCCTCAGACTCTGTCAAACATTTTGACAGGCGTGGCGAATTTTAATGTGGACCTCATCATTGTTTGCTCAGTGGTGTGACTAAAGAAAATACTACTTTTGTTGATATAGCAGTGCCCATATTCACTCTGCATGATTTAGGGAATGTAATGGCTTGTACATATATTTTTTTCTAAATCTAAGCCTTGTTTCTCAAACTGCTCCGAATTTGGTCTTTCGTGATAAAAAAATGAATGTTTTTTTATTGTAACCTGCTCCAAATTCGGATTTTAGTGCTTCAAAAGTAACATTTTGCTGCTTTAAAAGTTGTCCCAAATTCTATTTTGGTTGTTGCACACCTGTATAACAGCTTTTACTGTAAGAAAATACCCAGGGCACAATGGTATTTGAACCTAGTGCACTGCATGCCAGCCCAGCATTCTACCACTGAGCCACGCTGCTTATTGAAACTTGTTTCCAAACTGGCTTTAGGCAGACTTGATGTGGGAGAGGAGTCTCGTTAATATGAATGGCAAAGCGTTTTAGAACATCAAAGGAACAACCAGGCATCACACAATGGTAATCGCGTAACGAGTGGGCCGTCCAATGCATCAACCTGTTACAAAAGCTTGTTCTTGATCACTTAATAACTGTAGCGCATACCCACTTGCAGCATATTTCTGCATCGCTGTCAGCCACTGCATAAAAAAAATGCGAGAAATTCATAGCAGTTGTGTAGTGAATATCGCGCTTCTCTAAAAAGTGACGAAGGATAGCATAGTGAATGGTAATTCACTATGCTAATTCACAAAAATTATGATAATTGATGGCGTAGTGGGTACCCAGTGAGTGTGCTCGTAGCAGTTTTCCGAAGAGTGTCTAGAAAAGGCTCTGAAAAACCGCTCTTCTAGCTTTCGCTGTGACTTGCTGCATGTTCCACGCAGGCCTGGCGTTTTTTTTTTATAAGGCAGACACTGAAGACGTGAGCCATAACTCTTTGCTACTGCTGAGCACTTGGATGCCAAATATAAAACAATTCAAATAGTTAGATAAATGTATAAAACCAGTTTGAAGAAATATTCTGAGCACAGTTGAACAGGCTTAAGCTGAAGAACTTATGCAGAATATGACGTCTTGAGACTACTCTCAAACAGAAAGGAGATTGTGATAAAACCTGCGTACAAAGCTGGCAGTATAGTAATCTGGCCCTTAGAAAAATATAAAAACGAAGCTAGCTCAGCAACAACACCCACTATCAAATCTTACCTTCATACCTGACTTTATATAGCAATTAATAGCAGACAACACATCATAAAGGGTTTTCTAGCCAGATAATTAATCGTACCCTCCGAGCAGTGATTCATAATGCCCAAAAACAAGCAAGTTGGCCGCTTCTACCTTCTTCCGAAGCTTTGTAAAGTTTCTGTAGATGAACTGTTCATCGCATAAATCTCGGGTACGCCTATAGCATCTAACAACAGTGTAAGTGCTGGGTCTTTATCAAGATTTCTAGATCATTTATCTAATATATTTTTACGGGGATTACAAATACACGGAAGATAGAAAGGAATGTATTTGCAATATTTACAGATGGGTGTGACACCTCAGGGTTGCTAGGATCTCGCGCGCCGAATCCGCTTCTTCATCAATGCGTCTACGACGAGGCGGAGCCATGCCCACTGCCTCGTAATATCACCCCCGGCGGACGAAGCGCCATCACGGTGCCGCTAAGTCAATCAGGACTGGCAGTGTAGTAGCGTTTTAGTCGCAACACATGGACAACATCAGTAGGTGTTGTGGCAGAAGATCAGGGGCAATCATCATCGTGATTTCATTGGTAGGTGCGTTTGCTCGGCTGGCTGCAATAGGGGACGAGCAGTCGTCAGGGTCTAATGCCACGGTGTTACATGCAGCAAGTGGGGAAACATGGCCTAACGAAATGCCTTGCGGGAGCACTTGGGTCGAACTACTAAACTTGAGAAGCGGAAGCTGAACGTAGTTGTCCACGATAGTCACGATGGTATGCGGCACAGCAACACTTCGCGCCAAGAGCACATCCACTAATGGAGACACTATGTAGTCACTGTCAGGAAGAGCTGGTGATATCGTTAAAGCCGCAAACGTGGTGGCTTGCGGTGACAACCGAACATAATCAACAGCGCACAATCGGTGTGACGGTGAGGACGGCACAGCCCCAAGTCGAAGCAGTTCAAGTTGGAGAACGCCGGTTGCACAGTTGATGAGAGTGGCATGAGTGGACAAGGAATCCAATCCAAGAATCAGGTCATTGGGGCACTGCTCAATAACTGCAGAGAGAACAGATGTCGGGTGATCGGCGATTGTGATGCGTGCTGTGCACATTCCTATGATGGAAAGACTTCTCGTCGACGACACGAATAATGCCAGAAGCAGCCGGTGTGGGAACTTTCTTCAGGCGGCGAGGAAGTCGGGCACTTATCACAGAAATATGCGCCCCGGTGTCAATAAGTGCAGAAACAGTCAGGCCGTCAACGTCTACGTCGATCAAATTTAGTCGTGTCGGCAGTACAAGGAGAGGATTTAAGATCGGTATTGAGGATGCAGCTTCACCTCCAAGAGCTGCACCGCTTAGTTTCTCTGATGAGAATTGAGCGGGGAGGTCGGGCGTCGTCGTAGAGGAGAAGGGGACGACGGGCGACGTGCAGGCGGCGAACGAGACTGATGACGTCGAGGCGACGGTGAGCGGCTGTGCTGCGTAATAGGGGCATCGAAGGGTGGAAGGCGGCGGTAGCTGTCGGGGATCGGCGCAGGAGGCTGGAAAAAGCGGTAGCTGTCGGCCCGGCGAGCAGTGTTATACTGTGTTGGGGACGAAGACCAATGGTTGCGGCAATACCGTGCGACGTGCCCTATGCGACGGCAGTAAAAGCAGATTGGTCGATCATCCGCCGTTCACCATTCGGCCAGATTGCGAGAGTGTAGAAAAGACCGTTCCTAGGGTGGTGACCTGGGGCGAGGCGGCGACCTTGAACGGAAGCCAAACGGTCGAAACTGAGCAACGGCGCAGACATCGAAGCCCAAATTGCTGAGTTCTTCCCGCACAATCGACTGTACCAAGCAAACCTGAGGTACTTGCGAATCGACGTGGCCGTTGCTGGGAAGAGCAGGTGTAATTGCTTCAATTTCCCGCCGGACGATTCGCGTAATTTCAGACGCCGGTGAAGACTGCCGATGAGAGGTCAGTTCATCGTCGCAGGATGACGTCGGAGCGGTGTTCGGCAGTCGAGTGAAAGATCTTGAAATACGCCTGCTTTTGGCCTGTTCAAAACGCCGGCATTCCTGAATAATTTCCTCGACGGTCGCGCAGTTCCGGCACATTAGCAGGTTGAACGCATCGTCCACTATCCCCTTGAGGGTGTGGCCAACCTTATCCGACTCCGACATGTCATCGACTTTACGACATAGAGCCAGCACGTCCTGTATATACGAGATATACGTCTCTGTGGACGTCTGAGCACGTATAGACAACTCCTTTTTTGCAGCCACCTTTCGACCGATGGCTTCCCAAATAAATAAACCCCGAAAGGGGCAACGAAAGGTGAGCATTTGCCGCGGGCGCAAGGCACCATTGGGGAAGTCCAATGAGCCCCAAACAGTAGGAGCCAATGAACGAGAAAGAAATATGGGCTCACCCTGAGTGTTCCCGGAAAAAACTCCCGACGCGCGCGCAGAAAATGTCCCGAGAGACTTTGTGCACGGCACCAGAGTCAACATCCTCTATCGAATGAGAGGGGTTAGTACTTCCGCTCCCCCAGTGCGACAGACCGTGGAAGAGGGAAGAGTCATCAGGACATGAGAGCAGCTGAAATAGGCGGCTAAGCCCACGCAATGGCGGCGGACTAGCCTCAATTCTCACGGAGTGTAGGACAGTAGGTGCTGCAGGATCGAAATGGCGAAGCACTCGCCATTATGTGAGGCATCGCTTGAGAGTGTGAAAAGCAGCTTTGCAGTCATCCTGCCAGAAAAAAGGGTGCGCTAGCATTCAGAAGTTTGTGCAGAGGTGGGATAGTGGCAAAATCACGGAGAAAGCGGCAACAGATGTACGGCGCTACGTTGAGAATGCTGCAAAGGTCTTTGGGTGTGGTTGGTGCAGGAAAGTGAAGTACCGTAGCAACCTTGTCAGGATCCTGCTCAATGTCATGTTTATTGACAATGTCACCCTAAAAATCTGACGGAGTTGTGCTTTGAATGCTGTCCAATGAGGGAAGTCACTTTCGCGGTTGTAGAACCACGTCTTAGCGACCGCCTTGAAGTGAAAGAAACTGTAGGGCAGTTCACCTGTCTCGTGCCAATGATTGCAAGCACTGGTTCTGTCATAATTGTCAATCCACTCTTGACATCTTCGTGAAGGTTGTGAAATAGCGGAGGGTCTTGTTGTGGCGTATTCACGATGTAGGTAGGGTCAGCTGGCTGAGGAAAAGTGATTGCGCTGTTCTGTTACATCCCTGCTGTTGGCGAGCAGAGCTGTTGACCAAATCGGAGCTCCAGGGGTTGCCGGTAGAGAAAGACGACGTGGAAATCGAAGCACACTTCACCACTTATAAGATGACGGCTGGTACGGCAGTAGCCAGGTTTTAATGCAGTTGCGCGAGGGCCAAGCGGCCCAGCCTGTATGGATGACGGTTATGATGATTACAATGGTTTGGATATACAGATGAATATAATGAAGGAAATAGTCAGCACCCACGCTATTATTAGCAATCTGCCTCTTTGTGGCACATCATACAGTACAGCTAGTCTTTGGTCTTGTGTATATTGAAACATTATGGTGAACTAACAGTTCAGCATTTGCTCTTGGCCACTTCTTATTTCCTCAGCAATCAGTTTAGCAAGATTTAACCCAACACTAACAGCTTTTCTTTTTTTCTTGCTCGGTCCCACAGGTACCGCAACTTTCAGTACAGAAAACGTAAGCATGCCACTGGTTTCGCATGTCTTTTTGTTGCTGTTGGAGCTTCGTTGGCCTCATGCTTTGATTATTTGCAGAGACAAAGGACCAGTTTGCTAGGGACGATCCTGCCTTTCTGGTGCTGCTGGGACTGTGGCTCGTTGGTGCGCCATCATTTCTCTCTTTGTTGCCCAAATGCCTTAAATATTTTTGCTTTCAGGCTATTGTGTGCATCGTGGTGTGCATTTTACTTAGGATGAGCAAGTCGTTCATAGTGGGGATTGTGCAGTGCTCACAGAAAGAACAAGTTTAGACCATGTGTGTGGACTGTTAGATGACAAATGCTCAGAGCATTAGGGAACTTCACTGGCTTCTCCAGACTTGCGCATAACAATTTTAATGTCAAATTTCCACATGTGCTGACTAGGCATCCACACTCCTTGTCCCAAAGCCTTCCCAGTGGCAGTCCCACACAGTTTTTGTTTTTTCTTACAATGTGGAAGTCCTCAATAATTTTTCTGGCCTGCCAAGCAACATTGTCTGTGAAATGAAGAATAATGCCCCTGACACACGGGCACCCTGAAGTCCTTTAGACAAGGGGACATCTTTCGGAAAGGCGTTCGGGCGCAGTGACACACGACAAAGGAGTAACTCCTTTCCGGCAAAGATCCTTTTCGCAAAAGCAGATCCCGCATCTACTTTTCTGGCAGGAAGGGAGTACTCTCGCATAGAGTGTGCATAATTTATCAATAGAAGAAAACGTGTCGCAACGCTGCAGTGCCCTGTCAGTATTTTTTTGCGCTGAGAAAATGTTTTTATTTTCAGCAGCAGTGCGATTTGTTGAAAAGTGAAGGCCTATAGTCTGTCCATACTCTCAAACACCTGCATTACGTCACTAGCGCGATCATGTTAGGGTTGGCAGCGGCAGTTGCTGTGTCGGTGACGTAGTATCTTGTAACAATGGAGTCGGCTCGGTCGGTGAAGAAAAAACCGCGTGTCAAGTGGACTGAAAAGGAGACCTGGGCGCTGATAAAGCTATGGGAGGACCATTTGGACGCCTTGCGAGGGCAAAAGCACAACGGTGGAGTGTACCAGGCGATTGCCGAGAGCCTCACCAACGCCGGTATTCCCCGTACACGGGCGCAAATTCACAGCAAAATTGCCTTCACAGCATTTAGCTCATCTTCGATGGAGCCGAGGGCGACAAGAGTCAGGCCCACCTCAACTGTTGCTTTATCTCTGTCTCTGCGCTGAGACATCGCAGGACCACGATGAAACGCGGCACGCCGTCACTGACCCAGCTGGACGCAGCCTTGTAAAAAGCTTGACAAAAAACAAAAACAGCAAAACGCGGACTGTTCATAGTTGCCAGACGAACTTAAGTTGCTGCTAAAAAGGCAAAAAAGCGAAAGAAAATTACAGGTATGCGCATTATAAGCCACCAGACAAAAAAAAAAAAACGGATTTATGCTCCGGCGTCGCTGAATGAGATGTACACGCGCAGATTCTTTTTAATATTTCCAATCTTGCTGCTTCAACAAACAGCGCCATTTTTTCTGCAGCGTTCTTCTGAGGCACCGCCTAAAACAGTAGTCCGATGCCGTGTGTCATCAGCGCCACTCCTTTCTGCAAATGGTCGCCTTAGGCGACAAAAGGGGTTTACTTCAAAGTACTTTACTTTTGCCCGTGTGTCACGAGTATAAGTGGAAAGGGCCTCCTCACATGTAGTAGTGAACACCTACATTCGTCCACTGATGCCTATACTATCGTAAGAGAGTACTCGTCACGCACAACAAAAGGAGGCTTAACATCTGGTGGCCATGGCTTCTAGCCTTCTGCGCTCTTCTTTCTTCTCGTCCTCCTGCTGTATGCTGCGCAAAATACACTACTGTCTCATGTTACTGCATCGTGTAAGAATATGTCCTGCAGCACAACAATGGGGTCTCGTACACGAATCCTGTGTTGCAGTCAACATGCCTAGACTTGTTTTTTATGCCGCATCCATTTATTGGGTCTGTTGAGCATCGTTATAACAGTGTTAAAGGGCCGTCACGATAAACGATTCTGCACGTGGAAGCACTGCGATCCGCCGGCACGCCACAAATTTCAAGAAACAATCCCTCCTTTCACAGACCTTTCGGGCCTCCGCGTGACGTGCCTAGCCAAATATGCCAACTATACTGTGACTGGTACAGCAAGAGACTATGACTTACGGTCAGTCTGCAAGCAGTTGTCCATGCTGCTTGTTGTTTGTCGTGTTGCCCGCATGCGTGTAGCACGTGTGGGGCACAGCATGTCCCCGTACCAGTCCATCGCGTTGGCAATCGTTTAAAGGCTTGTGCGCAATGCAGGTTCCATACCGGCACGATTACCGCAGCCATGGTTTGCCAACAAGCATGCAACTGACAGAGTAGGCGGCCGAAGTCGCGGCAACCGGAAGTAGACGGTGTTTCAAGTAGCGCGTCAGCGACGTTGTATGCCACGCGAGATTAGCAGGGGCCCTCGGTGAGAGGACAGAGCGGTGTGAGAGAGGATACCAGAGGGGGGAAGCGCAGGAGAGCGAAAGGTTTTGATAATCAAATGCTGACTCCACTATTGATGCATCGTTTTGAAAAATTCTGACAGCTCCGGGTTTGTCCTGCTTTCGTGCGCGATTTTCCTACCACAACTTAATTTAGACCTCTGGGTGGGTTACAGGCCCTTTAATGACGTGTTTGTGCATGTGTGGGGCGAATTCGCATCTACGGAACCATAAATGCACCATGTCGATAACAAGCCAGCAATAGAAGGCAGAGGAAATGTCAGTGATGTCGTTAAAGCAGCTCGCAGACAGCCTCGTGATTTGCCTTGAAAATAGCAGCTCGGACAAGGGCGATCGCCAGATTTATGTGCTGAGCTCAGAAGGCTTTCGCTACATCCAGGCATGTCAGAGAGAGAGAGAGAAAGAATTTAAGAAAGGTTAGACATGTGAGAGATGTCCACTGAACGGATCGGCACTATTTGTTGATGCGGCGCAGCAGTGTTCACCCGGCAGGTTCTCACGCTGGCTGCACGGTGGTGCCATAGGCGTGCTCCTCTAAGCATTCTAAGATCGCCAATCTATTCGATTGTTACACTGCCTCTCGCGCTCGGATTGCGAGCTGCCTCTGCATCTGGTGTCTCTGAGCCAGAGGACCAGAGCGGCCAACCGAATATGCCATTAGGTGCATAGGGCAGCTAACTGCTTTTAGTAGGCTCACTCAAGCTGATCTTTGTATAAGCACAAATTAAGGGAGTCTAGATGAGCAGAACTTGTGCACCCAATGAAAAATATTTCATGAGTGAGTGAGTGTTGTTTTTGTTCTGCCAACTTAAAACAGTGCAAAAGCAGTAACGTGACATGGTAAGCATTATTGACCGCACAAGCGGATACGATCAGGTACCAGACCATGTGGTTCATCTTTGCCATGCCACACAAAGGAGCAGCGTCACATGCATCTTTATCAAAAGAAGTGAACGCTTGAGCCCATTCCCTGCTTACCTGTACAGTTGAACCTCTTCCTGAATTGTAAAATATTGAACTGTGAACAAAATATTGAAATTATTGTGAACTGTAAGCTAATTGATAACTAACTTGGTGATGCCTCACTTCCGTGACATTCATTTCTTGGTTAAAGGGGCACATTCACTCAACAAAGTACAAGTAGAGGGTCTATTAATTATACCCATACATGTATAGGAAGTTGAGTGTAAAAAAATTTTTCACTGCACGTTAAGTCTTAGGAATGGCTAACAATAAATACCACTACTTTGCCATGCCGTGTGTGACATCGTGTCCTGCATATAGCAAAGATGTCATCTCCTAAAAATGTTTCAAATAGTTCATTTTTACTGCCAAACTGAAGAAAGCTGAAATAGCTTGATTGCATGTGCAGCTGATCACAAAACAAAATCGTTTTTTGAAATACAGATGCTCGCACAGCAAGCAGCTTGTTACGTCACGACTTGCCAGTGTTGCCAAACACTGTGGCCACTTGCATGTTCATAAAAATAATCAGTTGTAAACTAAGCGTTCAACCAAATGCTCTACAATTTCCCCACCTTACCTGTGAACACATAAGAGCTAACCCGCATAACAGATTGTGATTGATCGAAAATTGGGTGTCATGACCCCTTGAATGAAACCAAAAAAGTGATACTTGCCACGATATTGGCTGCAACAAGGAAATATTTGGCATGAGTGATGCTCAAAATTTCAAAGGTAGTATAAAAAGGTAAACAAATATTCAAAAGTAATTTGCAACTGTATTTATATTTTACTGTATAGTGCTGTAAAAGGGTACCTGAGAAGGATCACATCCTTTTTCAAATAAATGGAAATGCAGGGCTGTTTTGTCAAGTGAGTCTTTCTTAATTTGTAATGGCATCTTCTCATGTTCCGGTCTATTTAGTTTGAGATGCCACAAGGAAAGATTGCTTCATTTATTGTGGGTTTAAAGCATAGGACAATTCATTTTTTGTCTGGGGTTTTTGCTCAAACCAGATTGCCCTCTGTATTATATGTGATTTTTACATCTACTCTTATATTGAAAACTTGATATAATGAATAATTAGTGGTCCTGGTGCTGCTTGATTGATGCAAGGCTCAGCTGTATTAATTGTATGTCCACAGCATGCTGAAGACAAGTTTGGAAGGGATATGTGCAGTCAAACCTCAATGTAACAAATCCAGATATAATGAAATATTGGTAATAACGAAGTAAATGAAAAATATTCTTGCAATAGATTTGGTGTTAGGCAAAACCCTTTATAAAAAATTTTCGGATAAAACAAACTTATGTTTCTTTAAGATGCAACTATGTTATAATGAGGTTTGAGTGTATGTGATAGTGCATGCTTTATGTGCATTCACCATTGCACTCGGAATAGGCTAAAGCCGGCAGCATTGTGACAAATGAGAGCTGCTTGTGACACTGCTTGGTTTCAAGGTGGGCTTTGAATCAACGAGATTTCACTGCTTTTGCTGAACACCTGTTAGGCTATAAAGCAGTATAGCTAGGCTTGTGCAAATATTCGGGCACTTCGAATCGACTGTAAATTATTGGAAGTCTAAAGTATTCGAAGGAACACATTTACGCGTTCTACTGAAAGTCAAGTCCTGCCATTATTTGAAGTTGCTTCCACTTCCTTTGAACCCAAAAAGAAAGAGGGTTGCATATGCTTTGTTTTAATAAATAATAAAACAATGCACAGGCTTGTTGAGTGACCAATGTGCTCATTTTTCTCCTTAATATGTGATATATTAGAATTTATTCGACCAAATCTCTCCTTGCTTTGAACTTACTTCTAACCTAAAGTTTACTATTGGCACAAGCCTAAGTATAGCATATGAGTTGGAGGAGAAAGGGCCAGGACATTATTTTGGGGAGGACAGCCCCCCTTGCTGCCTGACTGGTTATGAGGCTATGAACTAATATCCTCAAAGGCTAGACTAGCTGTTTGGAATAATTTGAGGTATAGTATTTATGTTGCAATTGGGGTTTGTTGGTAGTATCATCAAAGTAGTAGTTGGGATTTTATTTCGAGGGGCATTAATTTTTGGCAGCTTTTGTGTGCTCCAAAAGCCCATGACGATTGGCTGCCATGAAAGCTGCTATGAAATGGCCTTAAAGCAGCCACATCGCAAATACTATCAGCCCAGCTGTAAAATAGTCTTAAAAAATATAAATGTGTCTTGTGCATTACTGTGAGTATGGTATGTTTTTATCCTCTTTCCAGCCTCATCAGTGGGATTTGTTTTGATCCTGCGCATCAGCTTCTTGGGCTTCCTAAAGTTTCTCCTGTGGGTGATATTTATTGACTGCATTGGCATGGGCGTCCTCGTGGCCACTGCACTGTGGTAAGGGCATGACTCAAGCTATTATGTGATGCCACTGTTGGTCCAGGGCAGTGTGGGAAGCAAGCTTGCTGTGGGTACTGCTCGTGGATGTTTGCAATGGAGCACTGCAAAGCACACACAGTGAAACCTTATTCAACGAAAATGAATGTGACGTATATTTGCAGCACTGTGCCTACAGATCGTTTTAGCAGGGTTTAACTGCGGGTGCATTAAGGGAGATCTATAGACCTTTTTCCTAACATGTATTTTCCATTGGTGCAGTTTAGAGGGTGCACTGGACAGCAACTGTTCATTGGAACTCATGAAGAATGACATTTCTTTTTTCTTATCCTCTGCTGTTGAGTTGAGACATGCTAGTGCATAGGCTGGTGAACATTTCCAGAAGGACTTTACAGCAGTTGGCAAGACTGCACTTTTCCACTATACAAATGCCGAAATTCTCGCTGCATGCCATGTCTACTTTTGTGTTAAGCAGTTTAATAATGGAATAACTACTAGCTCAATTCTACTCTTTAGTTAAACCAAAAATGAGTGTGACATTAGCAGAAAGACAATCTTTCTTTTTAGGAATAAAACATTTACCTCTATATATTATGTTTCATGCTGAACAGTAAATTTTATGAGACATGCTTTCCCACATTCTTGCATTTTTGTTCAAGTGAAGTATATAACTTTCGAGGTTAGCATTGAAGAACTGGTTGGGAATGCTTGTGAGTCACCAGCAGAGACTGATACTCTATTTTTTTTTGAAGGTTCTGGTGAGTAATGACGGCAAGTATTACACCAAAAGGTAGTGGCTATAATACGGAACTTTGTGCTATTTTGCAGCATTAATGAAGCTGCAATGAGCATAAAATCTATTTTAAGCACAGAAATTATTTTTTGTTTGGTGCATTTTTACTTAGAAACATTGGAAAAACCGGTTACTTACTTGACGTTTTGAGCCTCTAAGCATGATGAGTGAACATTTGCGCGCATTGAAAAAAAATTGGAAAACTTGCGCATTAACTGCTGACTTAAAAAAGCAACATATCTGCGTAATGCTGGTGCCTGTTGCAATAACCATTCAAACACATGGTGATGTAAGACGGTAGTGAAGGCCAGTGCGCTTTCATCGTGGCTGGCCGTGATGTCACATGACTTTTGAGAAAGATCCAGTGCAGGCAAAACTTTCCTTGCGCTGGTAATTCATGACCACTATTCAAGTCAAAGTTAGTGCAGCCTGTTCAAGAGAGTGTGAAGCATGACAGAACACTAAGCTTTGGGGAAGAAACACGTGAGTGGCTGCACTGGTAGACCTAGACGCTCGTGTTAGACTGGCTACCTGCAGTTATGAGGCGCAACTTATTTCAACCCTTCAGAAACACTACACATCAAAGCGCTAGACCTTCTCACTTGCCAGTGCGTGCTTTTGCTGTTACTCCCTTGTTCCTTACTTGGCTGCCTAAGACAAGTTCTGATGTAGAATTAAATTATCAAGACTGGAGCCAACTTGTACCCATTTTATGCATGGCAGCAGAGACTCCTGTTTGGTGCCTTCCAATTTAATCTTAGCAGGCTGTTTGGTCTGTGTTTGCAGTTAACCTCTACTAAATATGTACAAGCAGAAACTGCTGAAATGGATCGAGCTTCTCTTCAAAAGCTTCTGGCAGATGATTCTTCACATCTAAAAAAAAAAGTTTTCTTCCTTGTTTAATTATACGTCACTCTTTGTCGGCATTACGTGTGTCAGTTTGCAGGTTTTACGTTGAGAAGCTTGGTGTTCATGGGTCTGCATCGAGATTTTTTTGCTCTTTTGTTACTGTGCGAAAATGCTTATTTTTAATATGTATCAGGAAGATCGTTTTTGCCAGTTTGAAAAGCACGCATTTCAGCATACCAAAATTTTGCATAATGAAATGTTCTTCCCCAAAAATGTATGTTTTAGAGCAACTAAAATATTTTGAAATGATCAAAAATGGAAAAAGTGTGTAATTATTGTCGTTGCCAGCTGGAAAAAAGTGCACCAAACACACTATATATGCAAGAATATTCAGAACAAGGAAAATTCAGAATATACATATTAAACATAGATGACTCAGGAACAGTATAAAAAATAATAAATGTACAAACTTTTTGCATTCACATAGACAATGAAAATCAGAACCGAGGTGCTGCTTCGTTGCTCGTGTCATGTTGTAAAGCATTGGTTGGTTTGTTGTGAGACACAAGTAAACTCGCACAATTTTCTATGTAAATTTTAGTTTTTTTTTTTTTTTTTGCAATAAGAGCCTCCAGGTGTTCTAATAGATGAATATCCATGATGTGAGTAATCCCTCTATAAATCAGATGTCTAATGAACTTTGCTATTTTATTTAGTGTCACATCTTTTCATGAGCCGCCTCTCTCTGCATAGGTTGGCGTTCCTATATATGCATCCAATCTTATTTCTTAGCATTTTGCACGTCGTATTAAAAAAAAGAATAATCTCGCACGCAGTTCTAAAACGTTTCACGCTGCTACGTAGTCAGGGTCAAGATATGCTCCAGTGGCATTCTTTTCAGGAAAAGCTCTGCAGTTGTTGCAGCACACCTTGCCCCAGCGAAATGTGGTCTTCGCATGTAACCAGAGTACATATAAGATTGTGCACAAAGGTCAGCAGCTGTGCACTTGCAGCGGGGGAGGCAACTTGAGGCCATAAACAAAACACCCCGTGAACGGCTGTGCATGTCTTAGGCTGACTCAAAGCATCGTCGTCCTACGTAACCTCCAAGATTTGTTTTCTTTTAAGCGCCAATCTCGTAGTTATTGAAAATCCTGCGTAGTTGTCGCTGTTAGACGACAGATGGCATGACCAGCACACAGCAAATCGGGTGCGTCGTAGCTTCGCCCAGCCTTCTCTGCAGTCTGTCTCGACCGTGCGTCGTACACCTCGGTTGTTGGTGCTAGGAGTAGCTTCAGACTGTCGTTATTCTTTATGTTGGTGTTAGGCCTTGGCTAACAATTGTTGCGGTAGCGCCGGTGTAGCTTCTCGTCTGTCGCATCATTTGTAGTGGACTTGACGGCGTCTGCCCGCGGCAAATACCGTGCCAAAACACTTCCTTGCAGCAAACACTACAACCTGGCCTTCCTTCCAGCAAACACAACAGCAGTACTGCAGCTAATGGACCAGGGTATAATTAGAAATTTGAAATCATTTTATCGGCGTCATATGTTGAAACGAATTACTTTGTGCAATAACTACCAAGTGACGCTCCTAAGTGCACTCTACATGCTTGTGCGTGCTTGAGAGCAAGTGACAGCGCTTACGATAGCAAATTGCTTTCACCACTGTGGCTTTAGCACCGAAGCTCTGCAAGCTGGCGAGCCACCAGTGCTCGAACACGGCATCATCGCCTCCATGGCGGACGTTTTGGAAGACGTCTGCTTTGCGGACTACGTCGATGTGGATTCAAGTGCAGTTGTGTGTGGTGCACTCACGTATGGCGACATAATGTGTCAGGTGAGAAGTGCAGAACCTGTCGCTGCCAGTGACGATGATGAGGAGGAGGACGAAGCACTAGTGCGGCCCCCTGCTGCGGAAGTCATGGCAGGATTGAATGCCGCCCGTCTTTTCTTAAGTTTTGAAGAAGCCGGAGAAGAGGCCTTCCACCGAATTCGCTCGTTAGAGCAATAAAGGCTGACTGTTGCCTTCAAGAAAAGAAGGCAGACTGCGATCGCAGATTTTTTTCAAAAAATAAATTGTTAAGCCCTACTCGCACTGTACTATTGTTGTTTTTCACTTTCGTTAGTTCGAACTTTCGTTAATTCAAACTGAGGCGGATTCTCCTTGCGGTTCGAATTAACAAGCTTTTACGGTACTCAGTCATGACTGCGAGTGTGCGCAGCTGCCGAAATTGTCTAGAGGGCGGCACTGGGAATGTCATGGTGGTCGGTCACTTGTCGTCGCGAGCTGTCCTATTGCAATGCCATACACTCCGGTGGTCGTTAGTGACTGGATCGCTCTGGCCGCTTTCTTCGGCGATGCTGTGATTTGGTCCGGTCATCTGCCAGAAGTATACCCGGAGAGCGAGACTGGCTGCATCGCGGTGGTCGGTCTCGTCCATGAAGTGATTTCGGTGGGTAGCAGCAAGCCCCGCCGCGGTGGTCTAGTGGCTAAGGTACTCGGCTGCTGACCCGTAAGTCGCGGGTTCAAATCCCGGCTGCGGCGGCTGCATTTCCGATGGAGGCGGAAATGTTGTAGGCCCGTGTACTCAGATTTGGGTGCACGTTAAAGAACCCCAGGTGGTCGAAATTTCCGGAGCCCTCCACTACGGCGTCTCTCATAATCATATGGTGGTTTTGGGACGTTAAACCCCACAAATCTAATCTAATCGGTGGGTAGCAGCAAAAAATACATCTGGCTGTTGCCTTCTGCTGTCTTGTGGAGTAAGCGGTAGCCACTGCATGCTTGAAAAAAGTCGCCGGAAAAGCTTCCGAAGAGATGCATTGGGTGCTCGACTTTTCTCTTCGGCTTGCTTTAAGTAATCGGCCACTTTCACATTTTGGTCAACTCCAGGCGAACGGTCAGGACCTCCATCATCCAAACAATCTTCTTGTAGCTTTTGGAAACTGGAGGAATCACATACAACCTCCACGGGAGTACGAAAAGGTGTCGTGGTTCCTTGGTGCTTTTTCTCACGGTTTTCAACACACAGTGGGAGTGACTGGGGAACAGTGGGGAATGTCTTGGCCAATGACTGCCTTGACATCTCAGACAAGGAACCCTGGGAAATGGGTTCCGACGCGCAATCCGACAACTGAATCTTGAAGCCCACTTTACAGCCTTCTTCAGTGTCTCCCGCAGGGCGTTCCGCCGTGATGTCACTAAGAGCATTGCAAAGCGCAGGTGTGGAGTCAGGATGATTCCCTGCGGATGCGTACTCAGAGCGGCACCTTTCACGGGGGTCATCTTCGGTTTCGGTCACTAGCTGTGAGGTACTTCGTTGTATACCCATGAAGGGTCTGCAAGCTCAAGTGGT